TTTACCAGCCAATTCAGGGGTGCAAATGTATGTACATTTTGCCTCTATTTTGGCTGCAACACCAGGTTACTCCTCCGCGCGCGACCTCTTTCATCTAACCACATACATGCCTATACCATCTAAGCTGGCTTCCCACCTGTTTAAGCTTTAGTTATTATCTCTTTCTTCTATTTTTCCTACAGAAAACAAAAGCACCACTCTACATTACTACTAGAACCCTTCTAAATTAAGCACTTATTACTAAACTTGAGCGTGCGCTGCACCCACAGGAAGTTACGCTAAAGTTTAGAGAAGATCTAACGCTCCTTAGCATGCTTAGCAGTAAGCTTTAGACGCTTTTTACAGTAGAGATTAGTGAGGCCCTGTTGTTTAAGTACTCTATATAGTGTAGAGCGACTGGGTGGCTTCGAAGGGGTGCCCTCCGCGTTCACATACACCGCCTCTTTGGCTAGGTCTGAGTACTCTATCTTTGGTGCGGCGCGTGCCTTCCGGTAGATGATTTTCTTCTGCGATAGCGATAGTATAGGTGGCCGCCCGCTGCGAGGCTTGTCCTCCGTTGTGCCAGTTGTGGTGTACTTTTTCCTCAAATCGCGTATGCAGCGCTCAGTGCGGCCATACGCGTCGGCGGCTTCTTTGACTGTGCATCCACCCGCTAATAGCCCCATGATCTGATTTCTCTGAACGATCGTCAAGTTAGGTCCTCTACGCACATTTTGGTCTAACTCTTGTAAAATTTGGCGTTGTGGCGGCATCGTTATGACGCTGCAAAGTTGTGGTGTTGATGTTGTGATGGAGACGCGTGCGCACGGACGGAAGAAACTTTTGACCTAGTACTGTACATCATGTGCCTGAACTTTCTACCAGCAGCGACAGCTCAGACGGAACAATGGAGGTTGACGATGACCATCTGGAAGAATCCGACTTGTTTGATCTCTATGAAGCAATGTATTTGTCCTTGCCAGAGACGCGATTTTCCGACAACAGTGGCGACGAGCCAATAACAGAGCCAGCACCACCGAGCCACGTCGATACCACTGTCTCACAACCCCTCCGCCGGTGGATGACGACTCCACGGCGTCGTCACCTTGAGCGTCAGAAGGGGTGGCATACGAAACCCCTCGTCTATCGCTCGGTCTCGAAGATGGCAACACGGATGGGACGATACCGTCAAATCACTTGCACGAGTCCATACGCAGCACGTCCGAGTCGATAACCTCTTCCGTTGGGATATGAAGACTACCTCTATGACAGTCGGCAGCAGGACTGCAGCGGCAGGTTGAGCCCCATCCTGGCGGCATTCCATCCTTAACACGGCGAGCACCTTGAGACGGTTACAGCATGTTGAAATACTGTTAAGAATTATTTGGGGCTGTGTTGGTGGGGTGCGCAGCAAGTTGGCGACGGAGTCGCGATTCCTGAAACGGGTAACCGAAGACGAACCTCAGTTAATTGACCCCAACCCGGAACCGCGAGGTTTGACGGATGGCGAGGGTGAACTTGTTTTCAACGTCCTATGGTCGTATGTGGAAATCCTGGCCGTTATTGGTAATAATAATCTTATAAACCAGGCAGTATTACTTTCTAGAAGCAAAAAGTAAGGGACGTTGTTGACGAAGTGAAGGCTTCACGCGCAGACAGCTGAAGGTTGGTTACAAGAGCCAAACGATGGCAAAAACATACAACAGCGGGTATTCGCTAGTGGTCACCCACCTAACTACTAATCCGCCGGTACGTTGCTTAAATAGGGCTGAGCGAACGGGAAGCCTTGTTTTCAACGTCCTATGGTCGTATGTGGAAATCCTGTCTATTGTTAATAATATTAATCTTAGAAATCAAATACTATCACTTTCTGGAAGCAATGGACCCAGGCGGACACCGCATCCCCTGACTTCGTTCCTGTCCCTACCCAATCCTCTATGTACACAACAGCTTCGCAGCCCCTTTTGATAGTAAAATGTTTGTTAGCTCAACTATCGTCTTCAAGTACTATGTTTTCACATGCCGAGCTAGCTTTTCCGCCCCTTGGTGAATATCAGCGCCCCCACCACTCAATACCTGCTTCTCCCTCTCGTCGTGTTCTGAAAGTAGTCTCATGCCCGCACACCAGACTCCAACCGTGACCGCTGAAATATCATCCAACGCGAGCGAGATTTGGAAGGCTTGCTGCACTACATCTTGCTGTTGGCTAATGCACATACATATACTTCAGTCTTCCGTGCGGACAATTGGTTAGTAGGGCTATGTGATTTATCATTTGTTGCGGCGATGGTGGACATGCATGGATTGGGTTCCCCACAGTGCACATTGAAGCTGTAAATGGACTGTACCAGGGTCCAATTCAGAGATTTCAATCCGACGGGTCACAAGGATTAGTCAACGACTCGACCTATTCAAGTGAAGACAGCTCTCTATGCGATAAGGAAGAAGAAACGTTGAGTTCGCAAGGATGGATTCAAAGGAAAAAACCATGCGGAAGTGATGAGAGGAGTGGATTGACGGTGCATCAAGTGGAAAACTTCAAGCCCTTTGGTAGTTGGAGGGATATAGAGGATAGACTGCATGTTCTCACCAAATAAACAGGACTTGTCAAATAGGTTTCGAATTGACCGCCATCGAGCCTGGTATCGGGGCAGCTCTACTAAGCAGTACGGCTTGCTTGAAAGCAAATTCCGTAGACACCTATTCGCAAATTTGGTCACTGTGCTTTCTCCAGCTTCTAAGAATTACATCCATCTGTAGTATATTGCTGTTTGTGGGTTGTTACGTCCATAACAAGACTCCAAGGGGCCAGAGTACATTGAGTGTTAAACAACAATCCACATCGTCCAGTCAGGCGATCCTACGCAATAAATTATGTTTGTGAAGACTGCTTCCGAAATTGCATGATTAATTCGATCCATCAGGCCTGACACAAAACGATGATGAAAATGCGTGGTCGATGGAAGTGGCTCTGCCTGATCCCCCTTCTCGGCTGCACCTGCCCCGTCATCATGCAGCTCCTGCCATGCCAACGGCCTTGCATCAGCGCCGACAAGCACGCCAGCGCCCACGACGCGATCATGTCGGCCTCGACACACTCGAGCGACAGTGATGTCGACGCAGAGAGCCGGAGCGACGCGCCGCAAGTCGAAGCGCTCTTCCTGATCCGGTTCGACAAGAAAGTCGGGTGCGTTGGGCGAGTACCGCCATGGCGCACGCAATGCTGACGCCTCCAGCTACACAATCGCATGGAAGCGCACCGCCAACGACACGGACCTCGATGGCGTCGAGTTCAAGTCGCTGCCGTCCGGGCTGCACTCGCATGCGAGCGATCTCGTCTACTTCACGCACACGGGCTACGCCGGGCTGAGCGCATTCGCCCGGGGGGATGCGAGCGACGCGGACCGCAATGCGAACTTCGTCTCGGTCGGCATTCTCGTCCGGCGAGATGGCAGATTTGGCCGACTGGGGCGAGCATGGCTGCTTGCTGGGAAGCTGGAGCAGATTGCCGCGGCCCTGGCCAAGGACGAGACGGTCGCGCCGCTGGAGGACTTCTGGGCCGACCAGACGAGCAGGGCCCCAACGAAGCACGTCGACAGCAAGCGCGCCGTCCGCGATCGCGCCATCTCGACGGCCACGGCTGTCCCAAAGGACGAGGAGCGGCTGCCCGCGTACCATCCGGCCCTGGCGATACTGCAGTACCTGGCGCTGCTCGGCCCGCTGGTCTTCAGGCTGCAGCAGGCCGCGCTGCTTAGGAAGCGCATCCTCTTCGTGGGCAGTCCGCCCGTCAGGACGACATGCGAGTTTGGTGAGCGCGCAACAGACTGCATCCCCCGGCGGGCTAGCTAACGGCGACAGTCTACAACCTCTCCGTGCTCTCCAGCATCTCCCCTCGCGACGCCGAGCACCTCGCGCCGGGCACCGAGGACCTCCTCCGTCTCCCCTCCCTCTTCTCCATTGGCGTGCACGACATTCCCTACCTCGAAGAACTGCGCAACCCAAAGGGCGGACACACGCCGGGCAGCGAGCCAGCAGAGGGCTGGGTCGCTTGCACGACAGACGAGATCATCGCGACTAAGCAGAAGCTGTACGACATTGTCGTCGAGATGCCGCACAGCAGCGACGCAGCACCACAACAGCGGCAATGGCCAAAGCTGCGCACGAGCGCAGGGGATGCCCTCAAGGCCAGCCAGCGCGACGTTGCACGGTACAAGCTGCTGCATCGCGAGCTCTGGAAGCACCACCAGCAGGCCACCGAGACATTCCACGACGACGACGAGCAGAACGACGACGCAGCACCGCTCATCTCGCACGACGAGATTGACGCCAAGCGCGCAGACGACGACTTCAACGACGCCTACGACGACACAGCTGTAGAGCCCACGACGTGGTCACGACTTGCGTACCAGGGCTTCATGTGGTGGGCGAGTGCCGGCGAGCGTGATGCACACACCACAGCCGAGAGGGAACTCGACCGTGACCTTGTTGGCGACATAGCCGAGTATGCTGACTCGGTGGAGACAGCCGTCATCGCATACTTCCACCGCCAGTCGTCGCTGATGATCAAAGTACTCTCCCAACTGCTAGAGAGCGAGCACGAGAACGAAGAAGGAGAAGGCGAGGAGGGTGATGCACTGTGGATCGAGCGAGACGATCTCAGCAGGATGGGTCTTGATACCTGGAGTGAGGCAGACCGCGCGTACGTGCAGGAATTTGGCAGTCTGTACTTTGGGCGGAGAGTCGAGATCAGAGGCAACGAGGTGGACTGCTGCGGTCTGCGCGTGCCGATGTTGTAGACAGACCTCCCACGGCTGGTCCTGGGAGAGAAGTGTAGGCTATCTTCGCAGTATCTGATTCTCACAAACGCAACGCACACCCTGTCAATCAATGCTCACTGCCTTCAAATTGTATGCCACTCATTTGCTCGCTGGCAGACAGCGATATCGGCGCGCCCCGCACTCCTTGAACTTTTGCGCCCATGCGCCCCGCCCCGCATCGTCATCCGCCCTGCGGCGGACCTGCACGGCATATCGACGGCTCAACCTCGCACGACGAATTTATCTGCTATGATTCACAGCTCGTGACTCCTTCGCGCCAGTCTCCCTTTTTCTATAACCCTCCATTGCTCGATACCCCAATCACCACTTGACTGTGACTGATTGATTCACACCCCTCGGAATTCTAGTCCACAACAGTCACAATCGAGTGCGCCAATTGGCCGTTGAAAAACATAAACAGCAAAAATGCCAATGCTCGCGGAGCCGTGGACAAAGTACAAGCCGTTCAAGCCGGTGAACCTGCCAGACAGGCAATGGCCCAGCAAGACAATCGAGAAGCCCCCAAGATGGCTGTCGACGGATCTGCGCGACGGCAACCAGTCCCTGGTTGATCCTATGGTGTGCTTCATGGGCGAATCCTGCAAGCTTGGATGTGCTGACGCGTGCAGGACGGCGAGCAAAAGTGGATGTACTTCCAAATGCTCACAAGACTCGGCTACAAGGAAATCGAAGTCTCCTTCCCCTCGGCATCGCAGACCGACTTCGACTTCACACAGCGCCTCGTCCAGACACCTGGCATAGTACCCGACGATGTCTGGCTGCAGGTTCTGTCGCCTTGCCGCAAAGAGCTCATCCGCCGCACCGTCGACTCGCTGAAGGGCGCGAAGAAGGCCATCCTGCATCTGTACCTTGCGACCAGCCCGTGTTTCCAGCAGATCGTTTTCAACATGAACGACGACGAGACAATCGCTCTGGCCGTCGAGTGTACAAAGTACGCGAGGTCGATTACAAAGGACGACCCCGAGCAGGCCGGCACACAGTGGCACTACGAGTTCTCGCCCGAGACATTCTCCGACTCGAAGCCCGAGTTTGCTCTGCAGGTCTGCGAGGCCGTCAAGGCTGCGTGGGAGCCCACAGTCGAGGACCCCATCATCTTCAACCTGCCCGCGACCGTCGAGATGTCCACACCAAACGTCTACGCCGATCAGATCGAGTTCTTCTGCAGGAACGTCTCCGAGCGCGAGAAGATTTGCGTCTCTCTGCACCCCCACAACGACCGTGGCTGCGCCGTCGCTGCAGCAGAACTCGCGCAAATGGCCGGCGCAGACCGAGTAGAAGGCACTCTGTTCGGCAACGGCGAGCGCACTGGAAACGTCGACCTCGTGACCCTCGGCCTGAACCTGTACACACAGGGCATCCACCCCAAAATCGACTTCTCGGACCTGAAGTCCATCATCGACATGGTCGAGACTTGCAACAAGATCCCCATCCATCCCCGCGCGCCCTACGGCGGACAGCTCGTCGTTTGCGCCTTTTCCGGCTCGCATCAAGACGCCATCAAGAAGGGTTTCCAGAAGCGCAAGCAGGAAGGCGCAACCAACGAATCCTACTGGCAAATTCCCTACCTACCCCTCGACCCACAAGATATCGGCCGCACATATGAAGCCATCATCCGCGTCAACTCGCAGTCCGGCAAGGGCGGCGTGGCCTGGATCATCCAGCGCCAGCTGGAGCTCGACCTGCCGCGGGGTCTCCAAATCGCCTTCTCCAAGGTCGTACAGAAGGAAACCGACCGTCTGGGCCGCGAGCTGCTGCCGACGGAAATCGTCGGCCTGTTCGAGGACGCGTACCATCTCAAGCGCAACCCGCGCTTCGGGCTGATCGACTACGACATCGTGGCGGACCGCAGCAAGACACCCGAGCCCCCGACCGAAGGCAAGACGAACAAGACGTCCAACCTGCGCCGCATCTTCAAGGGCGTGCTGGAAATCGACGGCCAGGAGCACACGATCCACGGCAGCGGGAACGGCGCCATCTCCTCTCTCGCCGACGCCCTGCGCGGCCTGGGCATCGAGCTGGACGTGGTCGACTACAACGAGCACACGATCGGGTCCAACAAGGACGCCAAGGCCGCCACGTACATTGGGTGCGTGGTCGCCGGCGGCAGCCAGAAGGTGTGGGGCGTCGGCATCCACCACGACGTGGTGCAGGCGTCGCTGATCGCGCTTCTGAGCGCCGCTTCTTCGGTATGGGTCCACGAACAAGATAGCATCTGGAGACACTAATGCAGGATCCAGTTCCTATCGAGTAGACCGAGCACCCCGGTTCCCTTCCGCCCCAAGAGGAGTGACACGCTCGAGATTCCGAGCAGCCCCCTGCGGCAGAGTCAGAGCGCCGAGCAGCAGAATGGCACTATTGTGGATAGTCTGGAGAAGATGGTTGGGGGCAAGCAGGCGGACGTCAAGAGCGCGGGTGTCTAGCCGTTTGACCATGCCATGTTGTCTGCTTCATTCCGTTTCTGCCTCGCGTTACGATTGCATTGGCATTGGTTGGGTCAGCCCGGTGTTCAAAAGTGCATATACACTCTCAGATCGAGTATTTTCATCATTCAACAAGCTACAGTCTTCCCAGAGCTGCCAACACGTGTATTCGATGAGGTTGCACTGTCATCAATGGACTGTTTCTGCTACACTGCTAGCCTGATTCCCATACCCGCTTCGAAAAGGCATGTACAGGGGAACCTCGATGCTGTCGTGCCTGAACACCTCCCTTCTGAGCGCACGATGATGTTTCTTTGCACATCACCGACAATATCACGTGGCTATGGGAAGCGTCGGATCGTCGAAGAGGCTCTACATCGGCGGCTTCAACTTCGGAAATGCCAGGCCTTCGTCTGTGGACATCATTCTGATGAGCTTCAGACGCGCTTCGCAAATCTCGAAAACTCGAATCGCATTGCGCAGGACGAGGCTTGTGCAGGCTTCGCGAATGAGGAGTTCGCTGGCGTGAACGATGAATGAACTCCCACCGTCGTGAGTACTGAGCATTGGCAGCAACGTCCCGGATTCAACAGGAGTTATGTGGATAAGCTTCGGGATGTGGTGCGGTTGTATACACTACCTATACTTGTGTCGGCACCGAGTGTGCCTTTGACGGTGTTGTGCTTGCATTGTATTCCTCGCGGGATCTCATTGGTCTCTGCATGTAGGTGCTGCCTTCTTGACACATGCTCGATCTGTTTGTGATGTCGAAGATTCAAGGAATAATCTGGGTTCTAAAGACTAGTTTCCTCCCGCACCCAGAGCTCACTATGCACTGTGAGATGCGTGAATCCGTGATCATCGGCCAACAACATCAAGCTGCAAGTCAAACGAATGTGTGTGCAGACTAGACATCATGCATGAAGATTGTAGATATCCAGGCGATGGAACACTTGAAACGTTGCATCAAAATCGCACAAGCTCAACGAGTAAACCCAGCCGCCGTTCACTCGGTCACAGTATACTCATGTCGACTCAGCTGGTGCAGCCACCAGACAAGTCACCCGTATAAGCGCAGAAGAGACCATGGTACCCGTGTTCATTTGGAGAAAGGTGGTCTTGCGCCATGCAGTCCGCACAATACTCACACAGATCATTTCCATCACGTCCCTCCGACTCCCTCGTCGACGAGTCTACGCTCACCGTACTCTCGAGGCCAACGTGATGAGTTTGATGCCGTCGCTGGTGGAGCTCGATTGTGAGCGGTCTCTCAACGCTCTCGACAGCATCCAAGCGGAGGGCTTCTCGCTGAGCGTCGAGGATAGGCGGTGCGAGGCGGTCCGCTACGATCGTATAGCGAGACCGATGGAAGCGTGGAGATGTGACTTCAGAGACTCAAAGCGGAAACAGACAGCTGCTGTGTGGAAGTAGTAAAAGTGCATAGGGCGTTCTTGCGGTTTTAGAAGGGTTCGTGCAAAGCAGTTAATTGTGCTCTGTAATCAGCCGCGTCGCCTCTTCTCTTCTCAGCCTTGAGTCATGCAGTCTCTTGTTCATCTCGTCTCCCAAATCCTTGAACCTTCAGCCGCGTCGTGAGCATCTGCCTTAGCTCTCCGATCTTGCGCTTATCCTCTGCAATGATCTCGCCGTCTCCATCGCCTGTCTGAGTTCCGACCCGACTTCGAACGCTGTCAGTGACTGTTGATCGACTCCCGGAATGTACACATACCTTTGGGTGCTGGTATCGCTCCAGCTGTGTTTTTGGAGCGCGTCAGGTCGCAGCTTGCACACGATTACACTGGCGCTGCTCCGTGGGGAGGGCGAAATGTGCAATCTGGCTTGAGTGAGATGCAGACAGTCTATGCAAAGTGCGACAGTGGGCCATGCTGCATGCATGCTGATAGCCATCCTAATGGCCACAGTGCTTGCGGATCGAGCAATCACTGCCGTTGTGAGACGCTTCAGGAACCTCATTGCTCCTCAGTCTTGATCCCCAGATCACCTGCGGATCTGGGACACTGGTCCCAGAATGCCTGCTCGATGCGGTCAAAGACCACTTCGAGTGCGGTGATATCCTGACCGGTGTCGATGCCGTGTTCGATTGCGTCGCGGACGTCCTTCATCTTCTCCGCCAGCTTCGCCTTGTGCTTCATGTCGAGCCCTCGGCGGGCGGCGACATAGCTCTTACGCGCTCTGCAGGTTTGTCAGCAATGGGTGTCATTGGTATGCAGTTCGGGCGACTGACTGCTTGGCGCTCGCTGCGAGCTGAGCCTGGAGCTTTGCTCTCTCCTTGTAGTCGGCGATGTGTAGGATTTGCTCTTGGGCCATGTGGGACCTCTCCGAAACCTGTGCTCCAACGATAGCAAGCTCATCATCGGGTAGGTGCGTGAGATCGCGAATGAGTGCCTTGACGTTGTCGGGTGGCGTTGATGAGCCGAGCACGCTGTCCCAATGCTGCCAGTCGTCTCCAGCATCGCTGAGATCTTCCACGGCAGCAGTCCGTAAGTTGTAGAGGTGTGTGAGAGCAGTCGTGCGTTCCAACATGCTGAGGTTCACCAGCCGGTCAATGATGCTGTTCAGATAGAGCGCCCTTTCTTCGCCCATGATAGCGGTCAATGGTTGACTTGACGGGATGTAAGAACGATTGTCTGATTCATACCAGCAGCGAGGTAAGAGAAGAGGGGTGGAGATGTCTACACGGGTCGGGAGTGTCTGCTCAGTCAGTATGTTGTATTGGCACTCTTTCCTTTACAGAAAGTGACTGGTCGAGTACAAATGGAGTGATATGAAGAAGCCGCAATCAAGAGCCAAAGACTTGACGCATGTCCAGGTACAAGTCCAGGCTCATGCCTTTGCAGACTAAGGAGCCTGGGGTTCAGACGAGCTGAAACCGCGCTGTCATTGTCGCTGCCAAGCCACAACTATCCACTGATCCTAGGGAAGGCAGAATACGCATCGCTTGGTGTGGGCACTTACTCAAATTGGGGCTGTGGTGTTGTTTGTCGCTACAGGTAATGTTCGGAGCATTTCGGCTTTTGGCGTGAATACTGCGGAATCGTACGGCGAGCGCTTGCCGTTTGCGCTAGAAACACCTGCCAACCTGTACACTCGGCCGGTAAGACACAACGTAGCAATGATCAACACGAGTGCCTTCGACGAGAACTGTAATGACGTGGAATGTCTCGATTGCTTTTCTAGAGCTTCGCTGAGGGTGGTCGCTCCGCCTTCAGCGCGGCATCGATTGCTGCCATGGCTTGCACCAATTTTTCTTCTTGCAACTTGGGCGCTACGACCTGGATGCAGAGTGGAGACCCTACGTACAATTCGCGGTCGACTTCGGTCCCTGTGTTCGTTAGCACAAAATAGCCGGTGGCATTCAACCCGTCTCGAATACAACCGCAATTGGCAGATGCTCCAGGACTGCGGGACACTTACAGAGTGCACGGTTGACCTTGTCCCAGCTGCCCAGCGGCTTACCCTTCATCTCGCCCTTCTTGTCGCCTTTTGTGAAGTTTCGGATCGGAACGGTGCCGGCAGGGTAGTCGAGAAGCACGAAGGAGCTCGTGTAGCCGGCGCCATTGTAACGATCGATGGGCGGAACAGGATGCGGCGCAACAGGGCAGATGAACGCATCAATCTCGCCTGTCTTGTCCCTCCACATCTGCAGGCACTCTTTGCGCAGCTTCTCGCGCTTTCCATGCAGCTCCTGCAGCTTCTCGAACGGCGCCATCTTCCTCCTCTTTAGTCGGGTTGACAGCCACGGCGACAATGGCTCGTCTGCTGCTTCTAGCAGGTCGAACATTGCATTCGCACCTTCGACGTTGAACATACCGTTGGCGAGGGAGTGGCACTGCGAGAAGATGGATGCAATGTCCATTTCAACAACCTCTATACCGGCCTTTTGCAGCTTGGCCTTGGTCTCGTCTAGTACGCGTGTAATCGGGGGTAGCGGCTCGATCACGCCATCTCGTCTTACAACGCCTATCCTCAACTTCTTGGGATGTGAAGCTGAGGGACTCCACGGCAGTGGAACAACATCCGGATCGACTTGCCATGGCTTCTGATCAGATACTGCCTGGAAGAAGAGGTCCATGTCGCGCATTGAGTGGCCTAGTGGGCCAGCGCTGGCAGGCAGACCCATCTTCGCTGCACCGGGGAGTGATCCTCCCTCAATTAGAGCGTACGGAACACGGCCATCGCTCGGCTTGATGCCGTACAAGTTATCACACATGGCAGGGATGCGGATGGAGCCGCCTACGTCTGTACCAACACCGAGGACCGAGCCGCGCATAGCGAGCAGAGCGCCCTCGCCTCCGGTGCTGCCGCCTGCGGTCAGTGCGGTGTTGATGGGGTTGAGTGTACGGCCAAACACGTTGTTGTGTGAGTCCAGCGCCATCAGAGCCTGTGGAACATTCGTCTTGCAGTAGAGCACTGCGCCGGAGCTGAGCAGCAGGTCGACCAGTACCGAGTTCTCGGTAGCCGGCTTGAAAGATAGCGCGGCGAGGCCGAGAGAAGAGTCGTAGCCACGGACATTGAACATGTCTTTGAGTGATACCGGGACTCCATGCAACAGGCCTAGAGGTGGCTTGCCGGCGTCCAGGTGGGCGTCCAGCTCGGCTGCGCGCTTCAACGCATCATCAAAGAAGATCTCGGTCAAGCAGTTGGTGAGTTGGTGTGCAATGGCCGCCCGCTGATGGGGTCAGTGGTCGACCGTCGAACACTGTCAGCGTAGACGTACCTTGCAGAAGGCGGTGGTGACTTGCACACACGCAAGCTTCCTTTCTCGGATCGCTTGAGCAAGGGCTGTGGCGTCGTGGTTTTCGGTCATGTCTAGCTCTTCCTCTGTCAGTAGGCCACACGCTCGTGGTACACTGAGATAGTTGGTGACAGTCGCAGGTGGTGACTGGGGCAAGCGCCATTGGCTGGGGATGCGAGCGAACTGCTGGTCCTTTTTCTGCCATGAGACCGACTGCCACTTGGGCGTGGGTTCGGGGCCAGCTTGAGTCTTTGGTTTAGCCATTGTGATGTTGATGTGTTCTTGACGATGCAGATGGCCAGTGTGGAGATGGCTGGGTGATGCTAGGGTGATGCTAGGCTGGGTGATACTAGGCTGGGTGATGCTAGGCTGGGTGATGCTAGGCTGATTGATACTAGGCTGATTGATACTAGGCTGGCTGATACTAGGCTGATTGATACTAGGCTGATTGATACTAGGCTGGTTGATACTAGGCTGATTGACACCAAGGCTGGGGAAAGAAGCCTCGGTTGTGGGCGGCATGGCTTGAGGGGTACGGGAACTTGAAAGCGCAGCTGTTTGGTGGCGCAGATCAAGTTCATCTCTCACCTACTTTTGTAGCCTACAATCTCACCTACTCTTCAACCTACAGGCGTTCAGGTGCTTACCGACTGCGATCTCCGGGAGGGCAAGTTCCTTGTGTATGTAGAGGGCCTTCGCATAGAGGCTCGGCAGCGGACGGAAAAGGACGGATTTCAACGCGGATGCAAAGCTTATCCGCCTCATGAGTTGTCTGCAAACATTGCGTCGCCGAGGGTAGTGTCACATGCTTTCGCGTCGCGTACTGTACTGCTGACACGTCCAGCTGCCGTTGCTGCTGTCACTACCGTCTGAGATGGTTCGCGCGTAGTGATTGCGTGGCAGCGGCTAGTCCCCAGCAGCGGCTAGTCCCCATCTGATGACGCTACCCCAGCATTTTTTCGAGGCAATCATCAATACGGGCCTGGCACAGTAGTCCCACTGCAGACCCACCCAGGCCGTGCCAGTGTATTTCGCACCCCTTTCGCGCGCCAGGCCTCCTCCCACTCCTCGCCTCCAGCCTCCGCCTCGTCACGCAGCCCCCAATCGCAATCGCACCGCCATGGCTGCCAACGCAACCTCCGCAGCGGCGCTGCACCCGTACTACCCGCTCGGGGTGGAGATTGTGGGCTACCTGGCCAACGAGTGGAACACGCTCGAGCTGGTCAGCATGTTCGCGGCGGGATGCGCCGTCATATTCAGCATCACGTACGCGATCCTGATGCGGACGCGCCCCAACGCCAGCAACGCCGACGTGTCCATTATGATGTGGTTCGTGCTGTGCGGCTGCATCCACTCGTTCTTCGAGGGCTACTTTGCCTACAACTTCCGGCACATGGGCGGCATGCAGGATCTGTTTGGCCAGCTGTGGAAGGAGTACGCGCTCAGCGACTCGCGCTACCTGACCCAGGACGCGTTCGTGCTGTGCATGGAGACGGTCACAGCCGTGAGTGGTTGATCGAGGCCCCGCCGAGCAAGCCGCATGCTGACACGCCCGACAGGCCTTTTGGGGACCGCTGTCCTTTCTCACCGCGTACCTGATCGCCGTCGACCACCCGCTGCGCTACTCGCTGCAGCTGATTGTGTCGCTCGGCCAGTTCTACGGCGACGTGCTGTACTACGCGACCTCGCTGTTCGACCACTACATCCTCGACGTCGCCTACACCCGGCCCGAGGCCGCGTACTACTGGGGCTACTTTGTGCTGATGAACGCCTTCTGGATCGTCATCCCGGGCTACCTGATGTACCAGAGCGTTGACGCGACCGTGCGCGCGTTCAGGGCCGTCAACGACGCCGCCAAGCTGCTGCAAAAGGCCGAGCAGATGGGCTACTACAAGAAGAAGGCGTAGCCTCGCTGGGCTCCTACAGGGAGAAGGCGTAGCCTCGTTGGGCTCCTACAGGGAGAAGGCGTAGCCTCGTTGGGCTACTACAGGGAGAAGGCGTGAGCCTTGAAGAGCCTTGAAGAGCCTCGAAGAGCCTCGACTGGGCTGACTGGGAACGTGTTCGGATAGGGTGCGGGATATGGCGTTGAGGCGCACGGGAGGACGGATGCTGTGTGGACGTGTATATACCCTAGATTCACAGCCTGGTAGTCGAGTGCACAGAACGATATGAGGAAATAGACAATACAGAACGATATGAGGAAATAGACGATACAGAACGATGAGGAAATTGACGATGCAGAACGATGAGGAAATTGACGATACAGAACGATGAGGAAATAGATGACGCAGAACGATGAGGAAATTGACGATGCAGAACGATGAGGAAATAGACGATACAGAACGATGAGGAAATAGATGATGCAGAACAATGAGGAAATAGACGATGCAGAAAGATGAGGAAATTGACGTTGCAGAAAGATGAGGAAACAGACAACGCAGAACGACACGAGGAAATTGACGATGCAGATTTCGTAAAGTCTGTTCCTGATTGTCCCAACGTTGCGTACTCTAGTCGTCGATCGACACACCGCTAGCGCAGATCGGCGCCGCTCGACGACACTTCGGCCCTTGAGTGGAGCATCCAATTCACCAATATTTTATATATCCCGCAAGCCTTCGAAATCATGCTGCTCCCGTTATTCCCGTCGCCAGACAATCTCTCAGCACACACGCGACCATGCGGTTCCCCACAGCCACCGCGCTCTGCTTAGCCGCAGCCGCAGCACCCAACGACGAGCCGCTCTCGATCCAGATGGCGCGCTCCATCATGTCCCGACGCCAGGGAATCTACACGTCGAGCAGCGACGCGTCCGGAGCGCTGCAGGCCGGGCTCGTGCAAAAGACCTTTTCCGCGCTGATGGCGCAGTACCCGAACCACACTCTCGCACCCGCGCTGTCGTGCTACACGACGGCGTCGGCAGACTCGCTGCTTCCGCTGTGGGCCAACACGACGACGGCGCTCAAGTTCTCCCTGGACCGGCTGAGCGCGGGAAACGCGCTGGTGGGTCTGTCCGCGCAGACGGGCGAGGACAGGTACCAGCGAGCGGGGGAGGTGCTGCGCGCCAGCATCGACGCAAACTCGCGCAGCTCCGAGGGCGGGCTGTGGTACTACGTGTACCCGAACTGGTCGTATCTGGACGGCATGTTTTCCTTTGGCCCGTTCTGGGCGCTCTGGACAGCGACGCATGACGCGCGGAATGCCACGGCGTGGGCGGAGCTCAAGAGCCAGTTTGGGCTGCTTGCGCGGCGCTGTCAAGTCGAGGGCTCCGACCTCCTGGTCCACGGGTACGACGACTCGCGCACGGCGGTGTGGGCGAACAACTCGCGCGGGCAGAGTCCGCACGTCTGGGGCCGCAGCCTGGGGTGGTACGTGCTGGGGCTGCTGGAGACGATTTCGGAGCTCGACCGTGCCAGCGCGGGCGGCGCTCTCCGGGACGACTTTGTGGCCGAGTTCCAGCGCAGAATGGGCGCGGTTGTCGACGCCGTCGACGCGGCGACGGGCGCGTGGTGGCAGCTCCTCGACGCGCCGGGCAGACAGGGCAACTACGTGGAGAGCAGCGCGAGCGCCATGTTCACGTGGGCGCTGCTGCGGGGGGCGCGGGAGGGTCATCTCAACGCGACGCACGTCGACGTGGGCCGGCGCGCATACGCCCACCTAAAGGATACGTTTGTGGTGCACAGTGGCAATGGCACGCTGGGCTGGAACGGCACGGTGAGCGTGTGCAGTCTCAACTCGACGGCGAGCTTCGAGTACTACACGACCAGGCCGATACTGTACAACAGCGTGCTGGGCAGTGCGGCGTTTGTGGGGGCGAGCCTGGAGGTGGAGCGGCTGGGGTGTTGACGTGGGAGGTGAGGGCGGCTTTGACCTGTAGTATTCTTGACCTGTAGTATTCTTGACCTGCAGTATTCTTGACCTGCAGTATTCTTGACCTGCAGTATTCTTGACCTGCAGTATTCTTGACCTGTAGTATTCTTTGACCTTGACTTGTAGCATTCTTTGACCTTGACTTTAGTATTCTTTGACCCTGACTTGTAGATCTTTGACCTTGACTTGTAGATTTCTCTGACCTGTCACTTGTGGTGAGGTGGTTAGTGTCCAGCTTCTCACCTGTGGTGAGGTGGTGAGTGTCCAACCCTTCACCTGTGGTGAGGTGGTTAGTGTCCGACTGTTCACCAGTGGTTGGGTTGATGCAGTGGCATTCGACAGCTCCTTGACAGCTGCCATCTGATCCCTGGACGTTTGCAGACTCGGGTGTATGCAGCAGCCGTGAGAAGCCCAGCAGCCGTGAGAAGCCCGACACGGCACACACGCAACAAGGGCTTCCGTCCTTTTGCACTCATGCAAGGCCATTCTCCTGCGCCCCGTGCATGATCGAAGCATGGATGAAGGTGAACGTGGGCGACAAGCGAGCTGCGTCACGGATCTTCCCGCGTCCCCGCCGAGACGGAGCGACTTGTCAGCGCGGCCCAACGCAGAGGAGGGCGGCTGGGACGGCGGCGAGGCGTTGGGAGAAGCAATGGCAGAGCGGGTCAGCCTCACAGACGTACATGTTCCTCTGTCCACGTTCCTCTGTACGTGTTCCTCTGTCCATGTTCCTCTGTACATGTTCCTCTGTACATGCTCCTCTGTGCATGGTCCTCTGTACATGGTCGACTAGTTGGCCTGGACAAGCACGGTCCGGCCGTATCGTGCAGTGCACAGCTCGTAGTCTGCTTGGCTGGTTGGCCGGGTGGGCCAGCTCGTGTGGACCATAGGCTCGCCAGCAGCAGCACAACAAGCCTGAAATTGTGACACCAACCTTTCCCCCGGCGCCCCGGACAAGGCGGGCTGCAGTTGTCGCTGAGACCAGCGTCCACACCCGCTGCCGCCGCCACGCGCACCCCGCGCTGCTGCCGCTGACTGCGCCCCGACGAGGGGAGACGCGGACGGCTCGAGTCGCGGTGCCATACACACTCGCAAACAGCGCCCCGACGCCCCGACGCCCCGACGCCGCCCCGACGCCGCCCAGCCAGCGTCCGCACGCTGCCACACGACGGCGCCTGGCTCGCACCGCCCATGTCCACGGGGCTCGATGCCTGCCCCGCCCGCCGACGCAGCCAGCCCGCGCGAACATGCGTCGCCCGGCAAGAAGAGGGCGCCCGCCGTGATGAGCGGCAACGACTTTGCAAAGGCCATTGGCATCAGCAAGCCCGCCAATGTGCGCGACAAGATCAAGCGATGGCAGCAGGACGGCGGCAACGACGCGGCCGTCGCGGGCACCGACGACGACGACGCCACGCCGTCGGCAGACGTCGAGCCAAAGACGTCCCGGCCCAAGTCGCAGCCCCCGACGCCGAAGACGACGACCAAGCCCACGGCCGACAAGCCAAACTGGCAGCCCGCGCCCGCGCCCGACAAGCCAAACTGGCAGCCTGCGCCCGCGCCCTCTACCCCAACCGACCACAGCCCGCAGCGGGCGACGCCGGCCCACAACGAGCTCGACGACGACGTGCACAGCGCCGTCGCCCCCAAGAAGCGCGTCGTGAGCGACTCGCACTGGCGCGCAAAGCAGTCGCCGCCAAAAGACGCCGCCCGCCCGCCGCCCAAGACGATCCCCAACGCCTGGGTGCGGCCCTCGCGCATCGTGAAGAAGGACAAGCTTGCTGTCCCGGAGGATGTCGCGCCCGCACCGTCCGCACCGCCCACGGCCACGCCCGCACCGCCCACGGCTGCGCCGCCCACGTCCACGCCTGCACCGGCGCCCACGCTCACGCCCACGCCCAAGACGCCGCTGCAGGCACCGGTGCCGCAGACGCTGGCCAAGTACATCAGCAAGAGCACGGGGCAGAAGAAGGGCGCCCAGCGCCAGCGCCAGCGCCAGCGGCGCGCGTCCAAGCCCGCGAGTTCCAAGAGCGACGCCAACGAGGAGCGGCCCGTCAGCAGCGGCTCGGGCAGTGCAAAGGAGCCCGCCGTCGAGCCCGAGTCTCCGCAGCGCAAAAAGGACAGGTCGGAGGTGGTCAAGGTCCGCCGCAGAAACACGCAGACGTCCCCTCGCGCCTCGCTCTCCGCCGAAGACGCCGAGCCTGTCAAACAGAGGCCGGGCCGCAGGTCAGAGCCCGGGCCCGCCTTTGAGCATCTCGCCAACCTCGTCACCGTCGAGTATGCCGAGTCGAGCGTGTCCCCCGAGCTCGGGCCCGAGCCCGGGCCAGAGCCAGAGCCAAAGCCAAGCGTCACGTCGCCGCGTGCAGATGAGCTACGGGAACGCCGCAGAAGGCGGCGCCAGAGCAGGCCAATGTCCGACGACGAGGGCTTCCGGGAGTCTACACGGCGCCACCGCAGGACCAAGACCGACACGGTCGACATGGAGAAGGAGGACGTCATGCGGGCGCTGCGCGCCGTCCAGCCACGAGCGCTGTCGCCGCCCAACAAGGTGTTCGCCAGCAGACTGGAAGCCTGGCTCGACCGCACCCAGCAGATGCAGGACGCCGCAGAACAGTCGGAACGCCTCCCGCCCCGCCGCAGACGGCGATCAAAGGAGCCAGCCCGGGAGTCGTCCGCTGCTCCAGCAGAGTCGTCCGCTACCCAAGCAGAGTCGTCCGCTATTCAAGCAGAGTCGTTCGTCGTCCCAGCATCCACCAAAGGCAGGCATCAGCCAGCCCCCGTCGACCCAGCACCCGCTGAAGAGACGACAAGACCAGCACCTGCTGAAGAGACGACAAGACTGGCACCCGCTGAAGAGGCGACAAGACCGGCAACCGCTGAAGAGGCGACAAGACCGGCATCCGCTGAAGAGACGACAAGACCGGCATCCGCTGAAGAGACGACAAGACCGCGCAGCAGCGGCAGCGGCAGCGGCAGTGCAAGTGCAGGTGGGAGCAGACGCAGGCGCAGGCGTCGCAGCCACGAGCAGCGACGAGCAAGCCGCGAACTCAAGATCGACACCACCGCACCCGTCGCAGAAGAGGCAGCCTCGCCTGTCGGCCCCGACGGTTCTGCTGCACCACCGCTTCCCGACAAGGCCGAGCCTGAGCCTGAGCCTGAGCCGCCAGAGGCCCCGCTCTCGCCAACGCCAACACTGAAGCGTCGAGGCGCGAGGCGCAAGAGCCAACACATGCGCTCCAAGAGCTCGACCTGTTCTCCTCTGCGCGAGAGCATGTCCACGGACGATCTCACCCAAGAAGACACTGCCCGCGCTGTCTCGGCCGCGTCCTCTGCCCTGTCATCGTCGGTGGGTGCGTCTTCCGTCGACTTTGACCAGCCCTCGCTCAGACCACGACCCCTTGCCGTGCAGCGCCGCAAGCCAGCAAGAGGCAAGCGTCTGTCTACGATTGCTTCGGTCGATTCGCTCGCGAGCAAGGCGCACCGACCGCCGGGAACAGACGTCGCGCGCTCGGAGCGGAGCGAGTCTGTCTTCAGCGACGACAGAACCGTGACTGCTTCAGAAGTCGGCTCGCAGCTGAACGAGACGTCTACAATCGTCAGTCGCAGGAGCACACGGAAGAACAGGCTGGCGAGCCACGCGGACTTGATATCAGTGCTGTCGATGCCCAAGGCAGGAGCGAAGAGCATCGTGTCCGCGCGCAGCATTCGCACCAACAGGAGCCGCCTGGCTACTGCCACAATACCAGACATTATGAACGAGCTTGCCGACGACGAGGCAAAGTACATGCGGGAGCTGCGCACCATTGTCGACGGCGTCATTCCCGTCCTCCTCAGCTGCGTCCTCTCCAAGACCGACTCGGCCGTCGCCGTCGGCCTCTTTTCTCGCTCCGCCAAGTCTGACCCCAGTGAGGTCACCAAGCCCATTGTAGACATGGGCCTCTGTCTCGAGCGACTCAAGACACTGCACAAGCGCGTGCCCAAACAAGACTCGGACGGCTTCCTTTCCTGGGCCCAGAGCGCACAGCGCGTCTACGGCGACTACATTAGCGTGTGGCGCCTCGGTTTCCAGGACGTTGTCATCAGCCTTGCCCCTGCCGACGACGATCCGTTCAAGCCCGCCAAGATTGTGAACGGCCCGGACGACGGCGCTCCGTGGGACGAGGGCATGCCGCGCAATGCCGATGGATACGTGGTGAATGGCGATGGCGAGCGAGTCGATGTCGCCTATATGCTGAAGAGGCCGCTGGTGCGACTGAAGTACCTGGCCAAGACACTCAAGGTCGGTCTCGCCCGCGGATGGCGAGTTTTTTGTCACGATTGCTAACACGGGCTCAGGGTCTCAATCACGTCCAGCCCTCGGAGCGCGCAGACAAGATCGCCGCCACCTTTCACGATCTCGTCACCGCCGCGAGGAAGAGGTCCAACGACGAGCAAGCCCGACTCGAAGACGAGGCTGCCTCCAGCATAGACGCCACGCGCGCTCGTGATCCTCGAAGCCTCGCTCCGCTGGCTGGCGTTCGAATCGATGCAGCTCGCTGCGTCAGAGCGCGGGACTACTTTGACCTGTACCTGTACCACTCTACCAGCCAGGAGCTGAGCTGTCGCGTCGAGCTGTTGCTCCGCGACAACGCACCAGGTACAGCACAAGGCGGAGATGTCCTGCTGTGCGAGGTCGACTCCACGGGCCGATGGCTCCTCCTGCCGCCCATTCAGCAGAGCCGCATCTCAGCGCGCAATGGCGATGTGAAGGGTGAGATTGTTGTCATGATCCGCGGAAACCAAGCCGATGGGTCCGAATGGAGCGAGGTGATGTCACTTACTGCCGATGATGAGCAAGCCGGCTTTGAGTGGGTGCAGATGCTTGGCCTCACCCCTATCCCACCGCCGATTGCCGACATCAAGCGAGACCAGACGGTCCCGGGCCAGATGGCGAGACCCACAAGCAGCCATGGTTCTTCGTTGGTGTCCGTGGCAACCGCTTCGACGGCGCCCTTCAAGAGCAGGACACCAAGCCCTCACGAAATCGAGATTCCTCTCGGCGAACAGCACACGGGCGTCTCCAAGGTCTGGAACTACGACACACCTGACAGACGCCGACAGTCGCGCACGGTATCGCCGGTTACGCCGCCAAGTGCCGACGGCTCCCTTGCCAACAGGAACCGGGACGCAGGCGACGGCTCCCTTGCCAACAGGAACAGGGACGCAGGCGACGTCTCTCTTGCCAACAGGAACCGGGACGCAGCCGACGTCTCCCCACCAGAGCCACAAGCAAATCTGGGCACTGTGCGACGCACGAGACGTCCCGACGCAGACGCAGACCAAACGCCGCGAAGCAGCTTCGACGACGCTACGCGCTCAGACGGCACCGCGTCACCCACGGGGCTGAAGCGCACAAAAGCAAAGAGACTGTCAAGGACTGTGACATTGTCGACGGTCTCACAACGGCCCTCGCGGCAGATCACGCTCGACGATCCCATTGAGTTTGTTGACGAGCCGAAGCCTATCCAAAGCCGCGAGGCCAAGATCATCCAAGAAGAGAAGCAGCCTCGTCGCAAGTCGACGAAGCGTCGTGGGAAGAACTTCAGTGTATGGATGCCAACGTCAGAGGCAGATTGTTCAGACGAGTCCGACGGAAGCGAAGAATCCGCTGAAGAAGAGCAAATGTCGCCTCCAGGCTCCCCACCGCGACCTGGCACGCACAGAAGAGTATCGTCGACACCTTCGATGGAACTGCCATCCATTCCAAGGCTGAGGAAGTCGAGCCAGCCCTCGACGTCATTGAGAGATGCTGCGAATGCCGATGAACTTTCTGAGCCACCCGCTTCGGCACCGCCAGCGCTGAGCAAGGCTCCCAAGACTCGCAACCAAGAGGACGATGCACCACCGCCTCCGCCACCCCACCGGTCCCCCAGCCCGGCTACCCCAGTCACTCTAAAGGGCTCGAAGACACCAAACTTTACACCAGCACTGCCCGGATGGAAGACTAAGCGCCGCTCGTCTTCCCCTCTCAAGCACGAATATGAGCCGTCGACGTGCACTGAATCGTCGAGCGAGAGCGAGGAAGATGTCGTGTCCGAGGATGATGCCAGCGAGTCAGACGACGTCAGCCTGACCTCGGAGTCGTCAGAGGACGAGCTGGACGATGACATCCCGACACCGTTGATGCCGCTCAGCAGATCACGCAGCTACGCCACCCGCCCATCCTCGGCTGGCAGAGACGCCGCCCCGCTCGAGCCTCTGCCCGAGGAGAGCAAAGAGTTTCCCAGCGTGTCTCCGCCTGCATCGATCTACACCTTGCCCAACGGCACAATCACCCCATCCCAATCCGCATCGAACCAGCCCTATCGCGCTGTCCCGACAAACTCTGGCAAGGCTACCAAGGCCGTTGGGTCCATTTTCTCCTGGTCAGATGCTGGACGATGGGACAGCCTCCATCCGGACGAGTGCAGCATTGTTGTTACTCCAGGCAAGATTGAAGTGTTTGAGATCACAGCCGCTCACTCCAAGCCACTCGTATCCGACGGCGATGAGATTATACAGCCAGGCGGACGTGCTCCCCTTATTGCGGTTGAGCTTACCCCCCTGGTTCCCCTGCGCAAGTCGACAGCAATCGACATCTCCATTCGCTCGCCGCCGACGTCCGACTCTCGCATAGCCACAGGCAACAACATCATGCTGAGGAGCCGCAACGCCACAGAGTGCGCGCAGCTATATGCCATGATCAACCAGTCCCGCATCAACAACCCGACCTACATTGCCCTGCAAAACGCCCGCGGACCTTATGGGCACACAAGCTGGGCAGAGGCAATGGATCGCCGCAATGAAGCAAGAACGAATGCTTCTTCTGGATCGGGACTGTTTGGTGGCACACTCGGCCGGCGGAGCAGCTACAGAAAGTCGAGTACACGTGCGGCATCAATATCCGCTGCCACAGAGTCCTCGGTCGGCACCATGGGGACTGCGATGCGATCGGCACTCAGCCGTTTCTCCTTTGGCAAGGGCGGCATGTTCAGCGTGCGAAACTCGACACTGGAATCGCAGTCTCTCAACAGCTTCGACACTGGGTCGAGCGGGTCTCTTCCTGGCTCAGGCGCGTCCTCGCCAAACGGACCCGGTGGAGCAGTCGGCGCGCCCGCCGGCATCACCAACACCAAGTGCAGACTCTACGAGCGAGAGAGTCTGAAGAAGTGGCGCGACATGGGCGGAGCGAGACTGACCATTATGCTACCAAGTCCGAACCCGAGCGCGCCAGGCAGCCCCAACCCTCTTCAGCGCTCTCCAGGCACGCGAGACCATACGCAGGAGCGCCGTATCGTGGTGACCAGCAAGAAAGACAGCCAGATACTGCTCGACGTCACCCTTTCCGAGACGTGCTTTGAACGAGTCGCACGCAGCGGCATCGCAGTATCCGTGTGGGAGGACAATGTCGACGAGCATGGACAGGTAGGCCAAGTCGCGCACACGGGCGGCGTCAATGGCGCGAGAGCAAGGGTCTTTATGATCCAGATGAAGAGTGAGCGGGAGGCGGCGTACTGCTTCTCGCTGCTGGGGAAGATGAGGTACTAAGACGAGGAAGAGAACCGGGTGAAGGATATGCGACAGTCGCACACTGCGACGCACACCAGAGCAACATGTTCAGATTTGATTTTAGCGAGCGCGGCGTTTGCAGATGCATCTTGGCTTCCGCGATACCAGTACCATATCTACGCAACTACATTTCCTTGACGAGGAGCACATCTACATCTACATTCGACAGAGCGATTTGCGGACCTGGCTGCCGCTTTGTATCTTGGACGCGGTTTTTATCATGTATGGGTTTCGTTTGGCAGCATGTACGGGAGCGTTTTGGTGGGACTAGTGCATATAACATTTGTGTTTTGGTGCTTTGTAGACGATGTGGAGAGTGAGAGGGCGAGTGGGTGTGAGTTGTTAATGGTAGGGTGGAGGTGAGTGAGAGAAGAGAGGAGAAGAGAAAAAAGGAGAAGAGAAAAGAGGAGAATTAGATGAATTGAGAATCAAGATTAGCCGTGTGTCTTCAATTGATGGTGTTGTCGACGGCGTGCGGTGAGTGCACCTTGCGACGTGGTAGCACGACGGAACGGAGCGGGGAAGCTACTATTGCAGTGGCACACGTCCCCAGTCATGCCAACGTCTGCCAACGACGGTCCGGTCTGATCGTCTTTCCTCTTCCCGTTTCGATCTACTGCCTCAACGATTGGTGACGAAATGGAGTCGAAGTTGCTGCTGGAGCTGTGCATGGGCGTGTTGGGCTGGCATGGCTGTTCCGTTAAAATTTCCCGTTTGGGACAGCCCGCGTGGAGATTCGGCCCGAGGAAAACTGGGGTATAGGTCTACATTCGCTGGCAGTGGGGTCTGCCGGTATCGAAGCGTCGAGGTCACAGCTCCGCGTCTCAACCGTTGCCGTGCCGTCATCTCTTCTTCCACATCTGCAGTCATGCCTCTTTTCCAGCCGCACGACGTCAATGCACCGGTCCTCTCCCAGTTCTCCCTCAAGGGCAAGATTGCAGCTGTCACTGGCGGCGCTAGAGGTATCGGGTTAGAGGTCGTACGTGGTCTTGCAGAAGCGGGCGCCCATGTCGCTCTCATCTACACCTCCAGCAAAGACGCACACGACATTGCCGCCAAGATAGCACTGGATAATGGCGTCCGCGTCCAAGCGTTCCAGTCGGATGTCGCAGACAGAACGACCATCAGCGAGACTATCAACACGATTGCCGCGGAGTTTGGACACGGCCAGTTGGACATCGTGGTGGCTAATGCTGGGGTCTGCGCAAATGTTCCCAGTCTCGACTACACGGAAGAATCGTGGCAGAGGAACAACAGCGTCAACCTCGACGGCGTCATGTGGACTGCGCAGGCCGCCGGGAGAATCTTCAAAAAGCAGGGCAAGGGCAATCTAATCATCACCGCGTCCGTGAGCGCCATACTGGTCAACATCCCCCAGACGCAGGCTGCGTACAATGCCTCCAAGGCCGCTGTTGTGCACCTCGCAAAGTGTCTTGCCGTGGAGTGGTCCGAGTTTGCACGCGTCAACTGCATCTCACCCGGCTTCATCGACACGGAGAGTAAGGCGCTTCTCGTCATGGTAGTCCCGTTCCGACTTGGCTGACTCGCTGCCATAGTGCTTTCTTCGCAGCCTTCGGAGCTGATGGCGAAATGGCTGGATATGATTCCGGGTGGTCGTTTGTGTCACCCTGCTGAGCTCAAAGGCGTGAGTGGTCCATCGTTTGCTGATTTGTGACCGCCCACTGACGTGACGAACTTGAATAGGCGTTCGTTTTTCTCGCTAGCGACGCTTGCTGCTACATGACTGGGGCTAACATAGTTATCGATGGTGGTTACACCTTGCCTTAGCTGATGAGTGGTCACCTGGGGTTCTTAGTGTACGCTTACTCTGGGGAACGTCGCAACACATGGTCTGCTCGAGTCCCTCCACTTTGCTTGTGGTGTCACTGGGGAAATTTCAAGATTACTTTAAGACAGAGGACGCACGGCTTGATGGATCAACTTTGTGCCGAGTGTAGAACATGGCCGGTCGTTACCGAATCGGCCCGTTGGGCGCGCGTGTCAAGTGATGATGGTGGGAGCAGTAGCTCGTATTGGCACCGACCGTGATGCAAGGGGAGGTGGCTGATGTCAGGCGAAATTCTCGACAATTGCGTGCAAGTGGGCTTGGTCGATGTTAGGGAGCACTGCAACTGGCTTCACTCCCAACTGCAGCGATGAGACGCAGCGATGTGGTGTAGGTAGATACTCAGTTGGAGGGTTCGACACGTCTTGGATGCCGTTGATGACTTGGACATGTCCAAATGAAGGGTGAAGGGGCGAAGGTTGGACCCTGACACTCCAGTGTCGGCATCCTTGGCGGTCGCGTCCGGGGCCGAGGCTCACGTGAAAGACGCGAGTCAAAACTGAGCACAAGCGTGAGAAGGAGCGCGGGGAAGCAACAAATCCGTTCGGAGGCGATCCGAGACGATGTGGAGATAAAGACTCCACGATCTGGCCCCCGCGTGGCGTTGCACGGAGTGCCTGCATTCTGCCACTCTTCCACGTCAATTCACCGACTGCAGAGACTCCCAGACAGTTACCATGTCACTACCTACTGATTCGGTCTCGCCAAAGGCGACTCCCCTGCCTCCTCTGCCGGATAATGACCCATTGACACCGGCACAATGGAAGACACTGCTCGCCATCACCGACGCGTGCATTCCATCGATCAAGCCGATATCCGTTGCGGACACCAGGACAGAAATCGCAGCGACCGACACAGAATACTCTACCGCATTATCCACCATACGAGGGCTGGTGCCCGAATCTGATCCGGAGGCCACACTTGCAGCAACAGACTACCTCCAGGACTATGCATCCTCAAACCCAGCTTTCAAGCAGGAACTCCAACGCATCTTCGCTCTGTATATGCCATCGTCTACACGCCAGGAGCTCACTACTGTACTCAACGTCATGAACACACGCGTTGGCTCTCTGGCCCTTACGGGCTACCTAACGCCCATAAGTGAACAGCCTGTACACATCCGCGAAGCCATCATCAGATCATGGAAGACCGCCAGACTAGGTCCAATCCGCAGCTTGCACCGCTCGTTGACAGTCTTGTCGCGGCAGACGTGGATCAAGATCACGCCCACTTTACGCCGTGTCCTCGGCGTGCCACGTGTGCCGACGGGCATGAAGCCTGGCAAAGGCTACGACTACGAGTTCATCCAGCTTCCTCCCGGCGACAAGCCCGAAGTCATCGAAACGGACGTCATTATTGTGGGAAGCGGCTGTGGTGGCGCTGTCTGCGCCAAAAATCTTGCCGAAGCCGGGAATCGTGTCCTCGTTGTTGAGAAAGCGTATCACTGGACTCCTGAACACTTTCCTATGAGCGAGGAACACGGGTGGAATCATCTCTTCATGAATGGCGCATTTATTAGCTCCGACGACACGAGTACCTCGATTGTGGCCGGCCAAGCGTGGGGCGGTGGCGGCACAGTCAACTGGAGTGCCAGTCTGCAGACGCAGGGATACGTGAGGAAAGAGTGGGCGGATCGAGGCCTGCCTTTCTTTACGAGTGAGCGGTTCCAAGAGTGCCTCGATCGCGTCTGCGACAGGATGGGCGTCAGTGCAGACTACGTCGAACAAAACAGCGCGAATGCGAAGCTGCTCGAAGGCGCGAGAAAGCTTGGATATAACCACAAGGTAGTGCCACAGAACACAGGTGGCGCGCAGCATCGATGCGGACACTGCACGTTCGGCTGCGGTTCGTGCGAGAAACAAGGCCCCGTCATCTCGTTCCTCCCAGACGCTGCGCGAGCGGGCGCAAAGTTCATCGAGGGATTCCACGCCGAAAGAGTAATCTTCAAGACTATCGGCGGGAAGAGAGTCACAACAGGTGTAGTTGGCTCCTGGGTATCCCGCGACATCAACGGCGGCGTCGCCGGCGAGCCCATCACGCGTCGCAAAGTCATCATCAAAGCAAAGCGCGTTATTGTCTCCGCTGGCACGATGCAGAGCCCATTGCTACTTCTCCGCTCCAAATTGAACAATCCCCAGATCGGGCGCAACCTCTACGTGCACCCAGTATCCCTTCTTGGCGGCATCTACCAAGAAGAGATCAGGCCCTGGGAAGGCGCAATTCTGACCTCCGTCGTCGGCGAATATGAAAATCTCGACGGCCGTGGGCATGGCGCAAAACTCGAAGCTACGAACATGATCCCATCTTCCTGGCTTATCTGGCTTGATTGGAAGGGAGGATTGCAGTACAAACTCGATGCAGCCCGTATGAAGCACATGGTGGGCTATATCTCAATTTGCAAAGACCGCCACACGGGGCGTGTGTATCCCGACCCGATAGATGGAAGGGTCAGGTTTAGTTACACGCCCAGCAAGTTCGACAAGGGGCATATCATGAAGGGATTGTTGGCGCTAGCGAGGATCCAGTATGTTGAGGGTGCGAGCGAGATCTTTACTACCATTCCGGGCGTGTCGACATTCAAGCGTGACGTTTCGCTCCCGGCGAGCGGAGATGGTATCAATGATGAGAGTTTCCAGGCCTGGCTTGAGGAGGTGGAAACCAAAGGATTCCCAACCCCCGAGAGCGTGTTTGTTTCGGCTCATCAAATGGGAACTTGCCGAATGAGTAAGGTCGAGAAAGAGGGCGTTGTTGATCACACGGGTAGGGTGTGGGGCACCGAGGGCTTGTATGTTGCGGATGCCAGTGTATTTCCCAGCGCAAGTGGTGTCAATCCCATGGTGACGAATATGGCGATTTCTGATTGGATCTCGAGAGGTGTTGCTGAAGGGCTGAGGTCGAGAGCCACGCTTTGAGAGAAATGGAATAGCACCGCACTGATCCGACATTGTTGCGAACGTTTGCAGTCAGATACTGACTACTCACGTTACGGGCAAGCTGTCTTTCAAAGCTGCATCCACAGATGCTCTCATGGTATGCCTGACACCGTTTTCCTCGGCTATCGAAGGCATAGCTGTATTGTCGTTCTATCGTGGTATTACTCCGTTATCTTCCACTCCGACCACGGTACACCGCCGTCTTGATCGCTTGTGACGATAAGACGCCATGTCAGATGCTCATGATGACTATCGCAGCCGCTAAGACTAGCGTCCACAATCAACTCCAAAGCTCTCCTCTGCTTGAGGCCTCATCAGAGCTTGGTTGGCCAAATCGGGTTTGCAGAATGCGGCGGGTGGAGGGTTGTTGCATGTATTGGTGTTCGATGCTGATTGGCTGCGTCGCACGCCTTCGGCCTGTGCTGTGTTAAGGGTCAGGATTGATGTCATTGTGCATATCTTGGTGAAGGTCGCCCTGGTTAGGCTCGGGTAGCTTTGCAGTCTTTGAACATTCAGAGGGCTTCATGGACTTGTAGTGATGTGGAACCCTCAACGTACCTCCGTCTAAGGCAAGATACCGTCACAGGCGACTATCAAAGCGGAGTGATTTTCGATCGCCAAGTTCTGGCATTAGCCGCAAATCCACGGTTGGGAGGCAGAATCTCTCACCGCTTCCACTCTAGCGGTTCTTGCGCGTACTCTCCAAAATTGTAGATCGCAACGCGCTACGGAGCAACAGTAGTACTTCTCACTTGTATGACCTTGGCTGCAAAATAGATCGGCAATGCGCACTCTTAGGACTAGGAGTGGCGAGCCGAGAGCCCCACATGCATCAGTGGGCGATGAGTGCACTGGTGCAGGATCGCAGGAGCGGATGAGGCGCATCGCTACTGCCAAAGCTACTTAATGCGCGCGGCACCTACACCCTGTTAGACAGGCTTTCGAAATTGCGGTTGCAGACGACGGCACGACACCTTCCCTTTGCTGCGACAATAAGAGCACCGCAGTGGCCGCCTTGAAATCATACCCCCTATCACTTTCACGCCACCAAAACCCCGCCAATACCCCACCACACCATCGCTATCCGACCACAACAGCACGAACATGGCGGCTCTAGACGGTCCTTTCACCCAGGGCAGAATGGCGCAGCGAACCGGCAGCATCTCTCACGGCTTCGGCGTCAGCAGTGCAGCTGCAAATGGCGCCACCGAGTTCATGTCAACACTATCCCCTCCCAAGGGCGACCTCGACGGTTGGGACAGCACCAAACCGTGGAACCAGCAAACAGCCAACAACATCCCACTGATCTTCAAGGATGCCATGTCGGTGCGCGAGGAGGTCTTCGGCGAGCAGGGCGTGCCGCTGGAGGCCGAGTTCGACGAGGATGATGCACGTAGCTGGCATTGGGTTGCGTACGCATCAGTTGGCGCTACTACATCATCGCCTCCAAAAGGAACTCTTACTAGGAGCGACTCTGGTAACACGCCTGCAGATGATGCTAGGCGCGCCTCCGCAACGGCTCAGCGCACCCCTGTTGGCACTATCCGTCTCATACCTCCTCCCCATAGTCCAAGCAAGTACAAGGAGGAGAAGCCAGTCACGCATCCCGATGATGGCACCCCTACGACCGAAAGGATAGTCCACACTGACGAGCCATATATCAAGCTCGGCCGCTTGTCAGTCGTTGGGGCCTTCCGCGGAAACAAAATTGCTAGGATGCTCCTCAACGCCACCATCAAATTCGCCGCAGAGCACCCTGAACTCATCTATAGCCTTCCTTCCCCGACAACACGCGAGCTCGCGGCACTGAAGGCACCGAACACAACTCGTCAACTCTCCTGGCAGGGCCTGGTTTTCATCCACGCCCAGCTTCAGCTCGTCGAAATGTGGGAAAAGTATGGCTTCTCCGAGGCACTGCGCGACGAGCAAGGGAATGTTGAGATCGATGCCGAACCTCACTGGGTAGAGGAGGGTATCGAACACGTCGGCATGTGGAAGAGGATCAAGATCGTTGAGGGAAGGTTGTATTAGCCTGTCTGCCCTATCGCCTCTCCCGCATACTCACTGTGAGACTCTTACTTACCTGCGTTGCTAGGACGCTTTTGCAACGCGAAATACAGGCAGCACTAGAAAAAGGCCCAGCGCAGTATCCCATCGGCACAGTTAGTATCAGTATTGATCCTGTCACTTGAGGCGGGCGGTTACTTTCATTTTCACTGGCGTTTGGGTTTGTCAACAGCTGGCATTCAACATCATGGCTTATACCCCTTGCACAAGATCACGACGATACGGCTAGACTATCAGCTCTTTCTTCTATCACTAGCCACATGACTTTAGCGCATTGCGTGTCGCACATCAAAAATGATTTTAATTTCCACAAACCTCTTCATTGCATCCCACTGCGTCACATGTCACCTTTTCTGTCTAGGTTGTCAGCTTAGCCTATCATGATGTTTACTCGGCTGAGCAGTGTAGTAGGCAGATAATTCGTGTGGTATACGAACAGAGTGTGTTCGCCGTGGGGCTGATCTACCGGCACCCTTCTTCAACTTCACTTCTGAGTCTAGAGTCGCGCACAGCTAACGTGGCCATCTTAATATTCTCTCCCAAGCTTCCGTCCTTTCCAACCATCTCCACGCCTCTATATCGCGCCACTAACTTCTCCCGCGTATACACTAATTCACTCCACGCTATCAGCCACTAGACTTTGGTGCTGCTTACAGGAAAGCTCTGATGTAGTTCCATTAGTATAATATATGCCAGTGCGGAGAGGCCCACATATTTACGTAGACGAAATAGTAGGAGACGACGTTGACGAACCACAACTTCTAAGCTCTGCATACTAACAGAAGCCATCATCCAGTTTGTAAAAGTCTCTTTCCGAATCATTGACTGCCTCCAGGCAGATGTCATATCCGATAACATTGTCATGGTAGTCTAGCAAGGCAAGGATAACACTCCACACGCTGGGTTTAATGAAGCGCTGACTACCTGCTCCGCCGGACTCAACTTGGTCATTCCGCGCTCTCGTGATACAAGATAAGAAAAGATGTCTTCAATCCTTGCACTTAGGACTGAAATATCGGCCCTGTGTCCCCCGTCAATGTAGCCAATCTTGTGTACAATGACAACAAGAAGGTTGTACAAAATGGTAGTTCTGTCGATGCAGACATTTGGAAGGCTGCCGATGACGTTGTCGCTGAACTTGAGCTGGGTTCGACTACATCAGGATGGGCGATATGAAGAACCTGACAATGAATTATTTGGAGATACCGGATAGTCAGCAGTGGATTGAAAAGGCAGTCTCGCTTTTTTGGCAGTGGATGCAGTAGCGTAACGAGTCTTGAACCGATCAACGTGCACGATGCCGCCCGCAGCAGGGCCACGTCAACATTACTACCGCAGCGTGAACGGCCGGACTGGATCCTCCAGATCAATGAAGAAGTTCATCCTCCCCACCAAGTTCGCGCAGCCTCTCACTCGCGGTATACACGCCGTTGCACCACCCTCGATGGGACTCTTCTCCTCCGACAATATATTACCCTCGAAAGTCGATCCCACAATGGAGCTGTGAATCAGCCTTGACCTCCCCGCAGTCACTCTGCCTTCAGCTGATAATACTGCCAGCCTTGCGCATGTACCGGAACCGCAGGGAGACCGATCAATCTGACCATCAGCGAAGACGGTGACATTCGTCTGCCTAACAGGATCCGCGGTCGCGTCGTCCTCGTGGTAGAATATCACACCGTAGCAGTCATGCGTGCCATACTGCGCTCTCGTCCCCAGAGTCTTCTTGATCTCCCTCCCTAGATCGATGAACTGGTTCGCATTTTTCGGCTCTACCCGCAGCCCAAACTGTGCCGCATCGACCGTCGCATATACTGCGCCACCAAATGTCAAGTTTGCTGTAATGCTGATACCTCTCGAAGGCACCTGAACTGATAGGTCCCTCTCCAGCTGGTAGCTCAGTACGTTCACAAAGTCTGCATGGACTGGCTTGCCTTGCTTTACGGTAATAGCGGCTACAACACGACCAGAGGGAACATCCACGACCACATCCACGACCCCATCACCTTTAGGCGCCTTCACCAGTCCCTGAGTAACTGCCCAGTACCCCAGTGCCATGGTCCCATGACCACATGCTGTAGAGAAGCCGTCGGCGTGCCAGAACAGGACGCCGAAATGCGCACCGGGGTCGTCAGGTGGAGTGATGAATCCACCATACATGTCAGAATGGCCTCGAGGCTCGTGGCACAGCTGTTGGCGCAGTATCTCGAGTGGGTGGTTGGGGATATTGAGAATGACAAGGCGGCGCTCAGCAACCGAGGGTGCATCTGGCAGAGAACCGCTGGGAAGCTGGGCGACGATTCGAAAGGGCTCGCCTGCTGTGTGCCAGTCTTCGGTTTGGATCCAGTATGGTGAGGCCATGTTGTCAAGTTCTTGGTTCTGTTTGGGATCCGATTGTCGGGAGTTTTTTGGGGAAGATGATTCTGGATATAAGGTGTATCTGGCAGTGTTCGTGGTTTGCATCGGTAAATACATCTAGGGCGCATGTAGGACCAGCGATCCGGTGTGCCTGACTTCGGCCCTATTTTTATTGTACGCGTTTACAGAGGAGACTGTCATTTGCAGACATATACACAAGGGTCTGCTTGCCATCTAGAACATTTAAAATAAGAGCACAATTCCATTGATGCGGATTACTTGTAGATGTACATTTGCTGCATATATGACGTCATGATCTAACAGTTCTCGTGTTGGACTCGTTGGCTTCGTCAACTCGACAAATTGATCTCACGCACCACATGTTTGTCAAGTCACAATGGCACCCAAGCCCACCGATCAGCACGACGTCGCGATAGATGCGCACTCAGGCTCTGCTCTTGCCACAACGAAGCAGAATCTCCGCTACCTCTACGACCCCAAAGCAGCGGGTGCAGGCGCCGTCTCATCTCGCCGCACACGCGCCGCTCTGCGCGTACTTCGATCGAGTTTGATCTTCATCTTTTGGCGCGTCGTGCGTTACGCGAAATATGTCGCCATTGGCTCTTTTGTGGCTACAATAGGTGCAGGCGCGATGGGTACATTCATGAGTGGTGCAGGATTCGTGCTTGCACCTACAGGTATTGCGGGCACGATCATTGCAAGCTCGGTATGGGGTATCGGGCGCTTTGCTGTGCGCAGAGTTAAGAAGCGATGGGGAGCAGGGTATGGGTCCGGTGAGGCGGAAGCAGGGGCAGAAGCGAGGAGTACCAGGGTTGCGCAGATGGAGCGCGGGCCTGAGGCGATTCCCTGGTGAGCAGCTGAGACGACGGGCGAACGCACAAGAAGCTCCAGGAACACTATGTGGTTGCAGGAGATACGTCTTATGGGCGTTATGGTGGAAAAAGAGATGGCTACAGCTGAAGCAACGAGCGGCTTCTGCGCCCATAAAGCGAAGAACTTGTACTCTCCACCGCTGTCCTCGAACTCCTTCAATAGCATCTCAGGCATCGAACCCATCTTCTCGCCAGCGATTTCGATTGGAGATAGCTTGAGCAACGTATCTCTTGCGAAGGTAGTTGTTGCAAACATGCATTGCAGGCTCAGGTCCTGTCCCTCGTCCTTCGCCCTTGCTCCCGAGGGCACGCTGATAATCCTATGTTGCAAGTCCGTCAGATCTGCATCCGTAAGTGTTGCTGTCACTTGCGTACGCATGTCGACTCCCTGTCCATTTGTCACCTTTGCCACGAGTTGTTCCATGGCGTTGTGGAACAGTCTCAACGCCTACCCACCCCTCCAACCATCCCAATACATCTTGACTAGTTCAATCGAGCCGCCGGGCTCTTCCAACGCGACCAAGTTCTTGACCATATCTTGCAGGGACGGAGCTCGGCCCCTGGTAGCGCCATACGCGAGTGCACTAAGTCGAGTGTGACTTGCCACCTACCGACCACGGCTCGATCATCGGCTGGTGATTGTGCGATTGTCTGAGGGGGTGTTCTTGGGAAATAGCTGTTCTCGATGTCTATGCCAATCTAAACATTTGGAGCATTGCTGGCCGCCTGACGCACTTGTCAACACAATGTGAGGCTCTATACATCAACACAACACAAGGGCTCAGATCAGCAGATTCGACCCGACTGCCTGTTGCGCGACTTCTATATCAAGCAGGATCTGACTCCAGATCTGACTGCGTTCTCTCTCCTGTCCAGTAATATAAGGTCAAGGTGAAAAATCTCCGCAAACAGACCGTGCATCTCTGCGTGATTATTGACGATGTCTCCGGTAAAGGTCCAGCACACGTTTGACACGCTTGGCAACCGGAACATGTCCAAATACTATTCAACATTGATCGAGTGAGTCAAAGCGGAGTGCGCGACTCTTCAGCAGTCGCCCCCTTTCGCAGGCTTCAGCTCTCCATCTGTACCGAGAACAACGTTCGTGCCTGCCACATTGGCGTTTTCGCCATCGAAAAGGATAGCAATTTCTTCTAGAGTCTGGTTCGCAGTCAGTATGTGCCTTACACTTCTGCTTCGAATGTGTACGTACCGGACCTCTGGTCTCCACGTAGAGGAAGTAAATTGCCAGACACTCGAGTACAAGAACCACAACGTACACGAGGTAGAACTTCCAGCCAAGCGATTGGATACCGATCGGGTTCACATACTGGTTGAAAACACCGGACAGTGACGTAAACACAAAACAAAGCGTTAGTCCCTTTGCGCGGATATTGAAAGGCAGGATCTCAACGGTATACGATACTGTCAGACCAGGCCAAGCTATCCCTGCGGCGCCATAGAAGAGGAAGATCATAGCCAAGACAGCAGAGCCAGCACTTGAGTTACCAGTCTGTGCGTATACGGCGCTGCAGGCTGTCCAGATAGTGAATGCGATGAGCATGCCGATACCTGCACTGAGGAAGAGCGTGCGACGGCCGATTCGGTCGACGAGGAAGGCGCAGCCGAGAGAGACGAGGAAGCACCAAATTGTCAGCCCGCCATTAATCAATGCTTGGTTAGAGCCGCTGTCAACCTGTCAGTATTTTGGTAATCTATATCGGGCCGCGTGTACTCACTCAGTGATGCCAATAGTCTGCAGGACTGCCGCGAGATAGTAGCTCACTAGGCCATTGCCCGAGCACTGACTGAAGATCGCGGTCAAGATGATGAGTAAACATCTCTTCCTGTTGCCAGGGGTCCTGACAAGCTCATACCATCCACTGGTGGCACTGGCGGCCTTCTCCACCTTCAAAGTCTGACTGATCTCATTGAACTCCCAGTTGACAAAGTCGTTGTACTCGCCGTTGCCGTGGTACTTTGTCAGCACCTTCTTCGCAGCCTCGTGCTTGTCTTTGCTGATCAACCAGCGCGGGCTTTCAGGCAGCAAATAGACGAAAACCAGCTGGATGCCTGGCATGGCACATTGGAGGCCGATGGGCAGTCGCCAGGTCAAGTCAGAGGCAATGTGTGTGAGGGTCCCGTAAGTGGTCCAGGCCGCGAGAATGGAGCCCAGATACCAAAGTGTGTTGTAGATGGTCGTTACGCGACCTCTATGTCTTGGATGAGAGACCTCGGTGATCAGGAGTGGGCAAGTGGCGTTCGAGATGTTACTCCCCATTCCCATGATGAATCGACCTGCAAGGAACATTGCGTCCGGATTGCTGGCTTGTGGAAGAGCTTGAATGATCGAGCCGACGATGACGAGAACACATCCAATCGCAGTACCCATCCGCCGACCCAGAATATCGGCGATGTATGGTGTGAAGAGCAGGACGGCGAATCCTCCAAACCCTGGGAAGGCTCCGAGAAGGCCGAGTCGTGAACCAGTAGGATGATGGAAATCTGAGCCCCATCAGCTTCGTCCATGACAAATCCGCCGTAGACGCCTACATGCTTGCCATGCTGGCATTGTTTGAAGACCGTTGAGAAGACTACCATCGTAGCCCAGCGTCGTCGAGCCCAGAAATAAGAATGGCATCATCAGGTACAGCTTCCGAAGCTCGGGCTGCTTGTACCAGGGCCGTTGGTCCTCCTCCGGTTGGAACGGTACAGCGACATCTTCACGATGGATAACGTCGGCGTCTTGCTTGCTGTCCATAATGTGTGTAGTTCGAAATGAGACGTAGAGATAGGTCGGAGACAGGAGATGAGTGTCTCGATACTGATCTCAAAGTGTCTCATCAGGAAGCATATATACATTCATTGTATAGAGCTTGCTGGCTGAACAGCGGCCAGCTACAACCCCTGCAACACGCCACGAGTGCCATGGGGTGAGAATCTGGGGTTATTGGCAGTCACCTGTTGCGGAGAGACAAGGGGCGCGAAGTCTTCAGAGCGATCCGTTTCACACGCTAGCCTAGCGCTCATGCATAGTTTTTCCAGTTTATGCGGCAACTCGAAGAGCATGCCTCTTCCACCGTCGGACAAGGACCTGGATATATATCGGATGAAATGACTCGCCAACGCATCTCAGCTGCATGCGATGCATGTCGAGCGAGAAAAGTAAAAGTAAGTTGTATATGTCATCGATTGCTCACTTCTGAGTACGGGAGCGTGCTGTCCATCCGAGTGCGAAACCGACAGTCCTGAAGCATTAGTGGAATTGAAAGTTGACTTGGAAAGTGCCTGACACCAGATGGTCAATTCAAGTGCTCCACGTGTATTGATGTAAACATCGACTGTACAAGGATGCAGCCGAGGAAGAAGCGAGGCCCGAAGAATCGATACGTTCAAGGCCTACGAAACGAGCTTGATGCCGACCATGATGCTTTGGCAACAAGTCTGGAGTCACTCGCACCATTCGAGGTTGTGAATCAGGTCATCGCCGACTGGTTTGGATGGATCCATCCGGTGGCTCCCATACTTCACCAGGATCGGTTCATGCAACAGCTGGCGACCAGCCACCGGTCGCTTGGGAACGAACCCAAATCCTTTCTGCTCTTGGTCGCATCGGTATGCGCAGCAACAGTAGCTAGCTTGCGCCGAAGACGGCATCTCTATCTTGACCTGACGGTGGAGTCGTGCCTAGACTTTACAGAACGCCTAGGTGTGTGGAGCCCGAGTGCTGCAATTACCCTAGAGCGAAGCATTGCCATGTACAACTTCGGCACTGCACTGCACTACGAGCACGGCATCGATTCGCCGATCTCACATCGGCTCATGTCGGAGGCAGCTATGAGCGTCAAATTTCTGATCCACCAGTCAGTCGGCACCATGTCCTTCGCGGATTCACAGCTGCTGAAACGACTCTACTGGCTCATTTACGCTGGCCATTGTACAAGTGATATGTATGGGCGACAATTGCTATTACTGCGTCAGGCGAACGACCAGACCAGCGCACTGATGCCTCTGGAGGTGTCGGATGCTCAATTACTGGATCAAGGCGAGCCGTCTTCGCCTGATCATATCGGCAGCGAGCACTCATATGTGCCTGGTTTAAACGCGCTTTCTCGTCTTTTCATGGTTTGGCAGTCTAGCCAAGCCACTGCAACCCAGTCGATGGAAAATTTGCAAGCGCACATCGAACACGCCTACCGGATAGCTGACAACTTTCCTCCTGAACTGAGCTGGCAAGGGGATCATATCATTGGCGACTTCGGCTTCAATGTGCAAACAGTCAATCTCAAGATTACACAACTGCATATAAGGGCGAACCTGCTTGAGCAGATGAACACGATCGCGAAAGCGGACGGTCTTCTGATCACGCCTCACGCCATAATTGAGGAGCGACACCGTGCGGTCAACGAACTACTCGAAATTCTGTACCACATGCCAACAGAGGTCTTCGATGCAAACGGCTATAGTATTATTCCTAAGATTCGTGATATCGGAAGCGCGCTACTCGACGAGTTGCGGACGGGCTCGCATGGACGCACACTACAAGCCAGCGTTAATCTGGACAGGTTGCTGATAAAATTGGAGGACTTAGATTTGCGACCTGCTGACGCTACACCCTACTTTTAAAGAAAGCCCTAGTAGTCATCCTCGGTCTCCTCCAAGCTATATGCCCAGCACTCTGCAATGCATGTTCGTGCAGGGATGGTGACAGCGATTGGGAAGCCTCCATAGTCCGGATCCTCATTCGGCATGATTAGGAACTCGCCACTCCGTGTCTCATCACCGCCTAGGATCTTCACTGTGCTCAGCTCGCCAGTCTCCGCGTCGATCTCCTTCTCTTCCGCGTGCAGTATGCCGGTGAACGTGGAGCTGGGATTTGTGCTCTTGAATGAGAGATTAAAACCCCAGCCAGCACACAAAAACTTGCCATCGCCCTGGTGGATGACAATACCAGCACCAGGCCCAGCCTTGCCGAACACAAATGCGCGCTCGACGATGACCTCGTAGTTAGCAATGTTCTTCGTCCAAGGTTTCTCCACAACCTTCTGGCCCTCTTGAAACTCATCGAAGAAGAAGCCGAACATATCCTCGGGTCGCTCAGCTTGTGCCTCCAGGATATGATGTCGCAAAGAATGGATGAGCTTATAGTGCTTTGTTGCAGGTGATTCCGCAGCTTGTAGGGAGTCGATACCAAATGGCGAGCATCCCAGCGCAAGGTATGTCCCGTAGGCAAGCCATACTCGCCTGATGCCATACTCATCACGCCTCTGCTCTGGGATGAAGAGGGCCTGGTTACCATGTCTGTAGTTGATGCAAGTCTGCTCGTAGTCGTGGAAGTACAAATCAGGCGAGATAAGGTCGATACTGGGTGCGTTGAACTTGTACACATCTGTGGTGTGAGGGCAAGGTCCACCGGATGGGTAGATGCCGGCCTGGGCACCTCCACCAACAACGACGTTAGTATCCGACATATCGAGGTCGCCAGGGTTGTCGAAGTTCAGCCAGACGTTGACGTAGAGCGGGATTGGGTATTCAGCCTTGCCTGCGGAGGCGACGTGGTGGATGTACTTTGAGAAAGCATCGGCCATGAACATTTCTTCGGCGTTGACTTCATCTTTTGAACCGAATACGTCCTTCCAAGTCGCGCCCGAAGACGTGGACTTGATCCCGGGGAAGCGTTTAGTGAATTCAGGATGCAGGTCTGCATACTTGGTTTGCAGATGCTCAAGCAGATCCTTTGGCACAGGTTCACTGTACTTCTTCTCTGCAATCTTCGATCGGTCCCTGAAGTCGCCGAGTAACCCGGTCTCGTTCTCGACTTGTACCATGAGTACAGTACTGTGCTGGCCATCAAACTCCTTGAGATGTGCCATGAGCTCTCCGAAAGCCTTAGCGTCTGCTGTCCAGCTGTTCTCCGAGAATGGGCTCAGGAGCTCGAGTGTTCGCTTCCTGTTCCCGGCCTCAATGGTGTGCACTCTGGGAAAACGCTTCACGTCCTTCTTGACCCATGCAGGAACGTATGTCGACAGCGCGTTCTTGAAGCTGCCAAACCAGAGCAACACGAGCTTCATATTGTGCTCGCGAGCTGCTAGGATGACGGCATCGAGGTTGGAGAAGTCAAAATTTCCCTCCTCAGGCTCGATCTGTTCCCAAGACACGGATCCCAATAGTGTGTTGATGTGCATGTCCCTCATGTTCTGCCAGATCTTGTCGTCTGCCATGTACTTGGCTGAGCTAAGTGTCGAGTTGTGTAGCTCAGCGCTGAGCATGAGGAACGGTTCGCCATTGACGATGAGTTGACTAGACGTTTTAGTCTTGCGAAGGTGCGGGATATCGATCGCTGTCATGGTGGTGGATTTGGAGCAAACAAGTCGCTCGAAAGATGAAGAATACAGTCTTGTCAAACCAAGTCAATGGTGGAATATAAGTACAGTAAAAGTCGAACACAGAGGAACTTGAACAAACCCCAAACTTTCAAATAGGCCATGGCAAGCCGACACAGTGGAGCCCGCGAGGAGACACTTGGGCCACGCAATCGCATAAACTACCCTGCAATTATCCGACTCGCGCGGAGATAGTACCCCGCCTCACAATGCAGGATGTGGGGTACCTGTACGATACCGTGTGCCCGCCTCGGCTTCTTTCAACGCATATACCATCGCATAAACCTCGCTGTAATGCATGCATCGTCGCGCAAATTTTTGGTTGTACGATCAGTATCGGTCGTGATCGCCGAGTTTCGGAGTACCACGAAGAACACGACGATACATTTCTTCTTGCCCTCAACGACAACGAGGCGTTGCCCTGCTTATCGAATCCTTCACGATCAACAATGCCGTTATCGTAGTCTACTCGCGCAACTGCATCGCAACGTCCCGTTCCGCTTAGGACTCTGTGTCCCGCAGTTCCAAAGCTTGAATCTTACAGATCCGGAGCCCCTGTCAGCGACGCTGCACCATATCCATCTCGATGTTCGACCATGTGTCTTTCGATCTCCCCTTCATGGTGCGCTGATCATTTTCACTTGTAGAAGCTTGAATTCAGCATCGCCAGCACCACATAAATGGCGAAGTACACCCAGGACTGGGGCGAGATCGTGAGGTTGTGCGAGTCTGAACCGAAGGCTACAAGATCCATGCCGAAGACGGTCTGCGTGTCGATTAGCAAAGTCTCCCATTAAATTGATTCAGTTATAGACGATGGAGGAGAACGGCAGGTAAGACGCAGTGAAGGGCTCTATTGCTCTGATACTAAGCGGGTCCCCAGGCGCAAACCTGATCTGTCGAGTGCAATGTACTAGTAGGTCAAGTTCATCTTGTCCGTTGCCCGTTGCAGGAGTGACTGCATTCTTACCCATACGGAGGCTGCATACTCGGAGTAGACGGCGGTCTCCCATTTCATCTCAAGAGGGGCTGCTTCCGACACAGCTGTATGTTCGGGACCTTGGACTCTGCCAGGGCATCCTGCTGCTTTGCGGAACTACCTAGTGGGACTTGGTAGGTGTCAAAGTGTGCGTGAACGCTGTGCCATGTCCACATTCCGACCGGACCAGCGAGCCTGGTGCACCGCTTGGAAGAAGGACCCACGGAGTGCTGATACAGTGAGATGGAGGTCCGCATCTCGTGTACAATCACCAATTCCCTGGAGGGCATTGTGCGACATTGAACGTACCATGTTGCCCATCACAAGGTCGAAAGAAGTCGATGTCCTCGCGCCGGGAACATGTATGCGTCGCGCATTTGATAAAGTATTACCAGATGTGCGATTGCGCGCCCCCGTGTTGTGGAACGGCAAGGGTTGCACACTGATCTCGCCACCGAGCAGCTTGGGTCTCCCATAAACAGGCCACGATTATGATTAAAGGAATTCGCTGTCTAAGAAGACCTTCCTTGGTGATTCATTGAGTCGGTTCCGCTGCTCCACTACGAAGAAATCAAAAGCAAAGAAATAGAAAGAAAAAGAACTCCCCCTCCCATAAAGCAACAAGATGGAATTACAAACGATGGAAGAAAGTCCATACAACCGCCGGGGAACGCCATGCAGCACAATGGATAACGCTATAAGAACATGCTAGGATCGTGGTCACATCAGTCGTTCTCATGGGAATTCAAACGGAGACCGGTGAGAGAAGATGGGACAGACGACACAGACCAGCAGCCACTGGCTTGGTCTTGGAGCATGACTGTCTCCTGGCGAGACCTTTGATCCACACATCTCTTCACTCTATTCATTCCCTCGCTCCTTCCGAGATTGGAGGACTTCGGTCCCTGCTTGAGCTTCAGATTGCGGTCACGATGGTTGCTCGTAGTCGGCACTCAAGGACAGCAATGCAGGATTCAGCGACGCTTCCTCTGCAGTCCAAACGCACCACGGAAGCCTCTCGAATACTCCTGCGACCTGCGCTTGCGGTCCCTGCTGCTCGAAGCGTTCTTCTTCTCGAGCAAGACGCGGGCTCGCGGGTCGACTCTGAACAAGCGGCAGCGACACGACTCGTCCGGGTCCAGGCCGCAGTTGAACAGCATGCGCAGGATGGCCAGGGCGTCGTCGCGCGGGTTCCCAGTGGGCAGGTCGAAGCGATCGTGCGTGTAGAAGCCGGGGCTCGTCGTGTCCAACAGGGACCGCACGTGACTGAAGCGCTCCTTGGGGACGACGTTGTTCGCGTTCGGGTCCGCTTTCAGCTCCAGCAGCCGCCGCACGCCGTCGACATAACGGTTGCGGCATGCGAGCTGGAGCGGCGTCTCGCCGTTGCGCCCCACGGGTGCGTCAATGGTCCACAGCTGACTCACCAGGACATGGATGATGGCGCTGTGCTTGGCCGCGTACGCGTACTCAAAGGGTCCGTAGCCGACGCCGCGCAGAGCAACAACAAGCGCGCCGGCGTTGACAAGAAGCTCGACCATGGCGAGATTGCGGCGCTGGACGGCGTAGCAGAGCGGTGTTGAGGAACCGCTGTTGGGCACGTTGCGGCCCCAGTAGCGCCCCACGCGCGGGATGTTCGCACGCTCGAGGAAGTGCGGCGATGTTTCCAGGTTGGCGCCGAGGTGGATGAGTTGCTGTGCGAAGTCGGTGTGATTGTTTGCCGCGGCCCAGAGCAGCGCCGTGCTGCCGTGGTGCGCGATGTTGGTGCGCAGCAGAGGCTGCCACAGCACGTTGCTGAGGTAGCGCGAGCTGCACACGAGCCTGCTGATGTCGGTCTGGTCGAGGCACGACTCGGCGAGCAGCAGCAGCAACTCGGTGGGCAGCGCGAGCAGGCCGACAGGCGGGCTATCAGCAGGCGCCATGATGCTATCGCTGCTGTGCCTGTTGTTTTTGTTGATGTTTTTGTTTTTATTGTGGCGATCACGATGATGATGACGCGAGGTTGGAGCTCTCGCGCGAGGCGGGGAGGGGAATCATCATCCCTTTGGACTCGGCAACATGGAATGTGGGCCACGAACCGGCCTCGGAGGAGCAGTCAGCCCCCTCTGCCTGAAAGAGTAAACACCTCTATCGACCTGCCCTGTTCCTTGAATACGGAGTGTGTTGGGCCCCACTCTGACATGCGCCCATGTACTGTGTGGGCGGCTTGTGAGGCTTAACCGCGTGGCTCGGATGAGGCCGACGGTACCACTGGGTCTTGACGAACACACCGCAGTTGGCACGACAATTGACCTTGCCTTGGCGATGCTTACCGACTGCACATTACCGTGCTTGCCGTGAGTTGACACGTCAGACAGGTCTGTTCTTGCGAGTCCCGGTCTGAACTCGTCAGCGGTCCACTTCGTCGCGTGTTGCAGACATGGCCGGGTCTGGGTCCAAGTACCTGCATGCATGCCCCGGCGCGGGCGCCGTTGTTCTTGGTGTGTTCTGGAAGCTCGCCCTATGCACGACACACGGGAGGCAGTTAGAACATGGATACGAATATGAATGAACATGGTTATCGACGCGAAGGATGCAGAGCTGGGGTTGCAGAGCTGGGGTTGCAGAGCTGGGGTTGCAGAGCTGAGGTTGCAGGGCTGAGGTTGCAGGGCTGGGTTGGAGATGTAGGGTCTGGGACACTGTTGGAGATGTGCTGGGATCGCAGAAATCACCCTCTCTTGAGGACTCGGAGAGCTGGAGCCGTCTACGAAGCTCCCGTGGAGTACATGTTCGAAGGCACTGCGTATCATCACCGCATAACCGGCGGCCGACTCTCCTTATTCCCCGTCATGCGCGTTACCAGCCACTCGACGGCCTCGTGCACGCCCGTCCCCGTCAGCGCACTGCATGGTAAAACCCTCGAGTCCCTGACATTCCCCCCTTTCTCGCCCTCAAACACCCGCCGCACGAACCCCTCCTTGATGCGCACAACCTCGACGCAGTCCTCGCGATCCTGCTTGTTCGCCAGCACCAAGACAGGCACCCCGCTCGTCTCTCCGTTGCCCAGGATGCTCTCCAGCACGAGCCGCGCCTCGTCCAACCGGCCCATCTCGTCGTTCACCCCCACGCCGTCCCCAAGCTCCGCGAGCGTCGCGCTCCCCACGTCGGAGCTGTCGAGCACAAACACAATGGCGTGCGCGGCGGCATAGTAGCTCTGCCACAGGCCGCGCAGACTGTGCTGGCCCCCGACGTCCCAGAGCTTGAGGTAGATGGGCGGGTTGGGCGGCGGGAGGGCGAGGGTGACTGTGTTCTGGCCGACGGTGGGGACCGTCTTCAGGTTCGGGTGCGACGGCGTGTACGAGGCTTTGATCTGCTCGAGGAGCGTCGTCTTGCCCGCGTTGTCGAGGCCGAGCAGCAGAACCGAGTACTCTGGGGGGTGTTGGTGGGTGTGGCGCGGTGCAGCCTTGGGGATCGTCTTGGCGAGCGAGAGGGTGTCGCGCACGGGGGCTTACCTTCTTTGCTTGTGGCATGCAAGTAGATGGACTTGACGAGGTGGTACATGGTGCCGACGGCGTTGTGAGTGCGGCGAGAGCTTCACATGCCTGGAAGGTGGGTGGAGCTTTATCGATCGGCTGTATGCTGCCGAAGAATCGAGTACGAGTAGTTGCTTCAACGCGTCTACGAGTAATTGCTTCAGCGCGTGTACGAGTAACTGCTTCAGCGCGTGTACGAGTAACTGCTTCAACGCGTCTGCGAGTAATTGCTTTAGCGCGTCTAGGAGTAATTGCTTTAGCGCGTCTAGGAGTAATTGCTTCAACGCGTGTACGAGTAATTGCTTCAGCGCGTGTACGAGTAATTGCTTCAACGCGGCTACGAGTAATTGCTTCAGCGCGTCTACGAGTAGTTGCTTCAACGCGTGTACGAGTAATTGCTTCAACGCGTGTACGAGTAACTGCTTCAACGCGTCTACGAGTAACTGCTTCAACGCGTCTGCGAGTAATTGCTTCAACGCAGCACTGCCGAGCCAACAATCGAAGAACACATGTCAGATCCCAGCTCAACATGTCGCGCATTACTTGGCCTGAAAATGTGCAAATACAATATCCTAAATCTACAAAATCAGTGAACTTGTCACGCGCCAGGTATCAAGCACTCACCAGTCGTCAATCATGAGATTCACCTCCTCGAGCTCAATCATCCTCACCTCCTCAATCTCAATCATCTTCACCTCCTCAATCTCAATCATCTTCACCTCCTCAATCTCAATCATTCTCACCTCCTCAACCTCAATCATCCTCACCAGTCGTCAATCATAAAGTTGGCCTCCTCGCTCTCAATGTCCATGACCTTCCGCGCCGCCTCGCTGCCCGAAACCGGCAGCATCTCCAGCCCCGCCTTCTTGAACTGCTCAGGCACCTCCTCCGAGTCCAAAAGGCCGACTTGGAACAGCACGCTCGCCTGGTCCCAGTACACTCGCTCGCTCCACACCTTGCCCGCGCGCATGCCCACGATGCTGACGACGATGATCTCGACCTTCTGGTTCGTGGGCTGCACGCCCGGCAGGATCCACGGCATGACGCACGTATGCTTGAACTGCACGTACAGCTCGTCGACGATGCGGTCGATGCCGATGGTACGCGAGACGAGGCGGAGGTGCAGCGACGGCGGGGCAGTGGTGAGGAAGAAGTCGGCGTAGAAGCGCTTCAGCTCGGCGCGCCCAAAGCCGCCCGTCATGGTCGGGGTGAAGTTGACGCACGGCGTTGGGTGGTTGACGTACGTGTCCATGAGCTTCTGGACGTTGTGGGCGCGGTACTTTTGCTCGACGTTGTCCTCCCACGGCCTCTCCAGGCGCACCTCTGCGCCGAAGCCTGTGCGCACGACATGCAGACTGCGGCTCCACGCGATGCCGTCGGCAACCGCGTCGTACTGCTCCAGATCGTGTTCCGCAAAGCCCGGATCAACGCCCTCGTACGTGTACGCCGGGTACTCCATCTTCGCCAGCAGCCCGCCCGCGCCAATGCCAGGCGTGACACGCTTCGTGACCAGCCTTCGCCTCGCTTGTATCCCCAGCACCTCCGGGCGCCTCACAATGTCGACCGTCTCGCCGTCGTCCCCGCTGCCCTGGGCGAGGTGCACGACGACGCGGAAGCTGGCCGTGAAGCGGCGGCGCGGGTCGGGGATCGACGTCGGGTAGTACGCGACGAGGGAGCACAGCTTGCTTGTGGCTGTCTTGGGCTCGGCGAAGACGTCCAGGCAGACTGCGGCTGCTTCCCCGAATGCTGCCATGGCGTGACGTTAGCCCCTTCCCCCTTTCCTCTCTTCGGCTCCGAGTCGCGGGGAAGTATACCTACGACCGCGTACCGCTCGCCGATTCCCATGCCGTCGCCCAGCTTGTGCAGCGTGTTGACGTATGCCTTGCCGTTCTTGCCCTGCGGGATGTATTTCACGATGAAGCCCTCGTCGCGCCACGCGCGCATCGTCTCCATGTCGAACTCGTCATCTTCGGCCGTTATGTACAGAACCGGCGTGCTGTGGGTAAAGGACAGCCAACCGTTCTTGTCCGAGAGAAACTGTCTCGCCATGCTGCTCGTCAATGGTCGCGCGTCACGGGAGCTGGCGGGCGGGCGAGGGTCCTTGTCTGAGGCCCAGGGCCGGATTGCGCCGATGTTACTACAAAGGCAGTACGATATTGCAAAGGCAGTCTCGAGAAGCGAGGCTGCGATCAGGTCAGGGGCACACTCGAGCACGTCGCCACCGGGCGGGGGCGGCTGCGTTAATGATTGTGGGCTCACCCAGCCTGTCGCGCCGTCTACACAGCTGAATCCTGTTCCACGAGTGACGTCGCACCCTCGCCCGGGCTCCACTGCAACACCTTCCCCACACTGCTAGGATCAGATCACATGCCACGCCTCGCCCGCGAAGGTGTGGGCACCGATTTTGTGCGGCTGAAACTCGAGACGGCATTCAGTCATCGTGCATCGGATGGCAGAGCGCGTGAGCACGTGATTCCAGGCTCAACACTCTCGTTCTACTGTACTGTGCCCACAACACGCACACTGTCACGACTCACTCTCACCCATCATCACGGTTGACGAGAAACACAGATAGCACAGTCCTCTTACGTATCGCGTGCATGTCCTCTGTACACTAATCTCCGGCCATTTTGTATCATACGGCGTATACATGCTGCAACCTCTACTGGAGCAACTTCTCCAGCTCGGCGGCAATCGCATCACCGACCTGCGACGTTGTCGACGAGCCACCAATGTCCTTTGTGCGAACGCCGTTGTCGATTGCTATCTTGGTCGCCTCGTCGATCTTGGCAGCGTACTGCGGCAGGCAGAGCGAGTACTTGAACATCATGCTCATCGACAGGATTGTCGCGACGGGGTTGACGATGCCCTGCCCGGCGATGTCGGGCGCGGACCCTGCGTTGTCAGTGAGCCGGTTACTGCAAGGCATCAAGTACATGGCTTACCGTGGATGGGCTCGTAGATGCCGTTCAGCAAGGTCTTGCCGTCGGGAATGCCTCCCAGACTGGCGCTGGGCAGCAGCCCCAAGCTTCCGGGGATGACGCTGGCCTCGTCGGAGATGATGTCGCCGAACAGGTTGCTAGTCACGACGACGCCGTTCAGCGCGCGCGGGTTCTTGATCATCAGCATGGCCGCCGAGTCGATCAGGTGCGTGCCGGACTTCAGGTGCGGGTACTCGTCCTTCATGATGCGCTCGAACGTCTTCCGCCACAGGCGTGACGTGGCGAGCACGTTGGCCTTGTCCAGGCTCCAGACGGGCACTGGGGGCTCCTCGACCGACGCAAGGTTACCGGCTAACCGCACCACGCGCTCAATCTCCTCGACGCTGTAGGGCTCCGTGTCCATGGCCTTGCCGTCGCCCTCGTCCTCTTTGCGGTCGCCAAAGTAGATGCCGCCCGTCAGCTCGCGGATGATGTTGAAGTTGACGCCACGCACGTTTTCGGCCTTGAGCGGCGACTGCTCGACGAGCGAGTCGGACGCGAAGAAGCAGGGCCGCAGGTTGCCGAACGTGCCGAGTTCCTTGCGCAGCCTCAGGATGCCCTGCTCGGGGCGCACCTTGCCGGTGCCCCATTTCTGTTCGCGTGAGTGGGTGCAGTAGCTTGGGTCAACAGTGCGCATACCGGTCCGCCGACAGCGCCCAGGATGATGGCATCGGCCTTCTTCGCTGCCTCGAGCGTCTCGTCCGTGAGCGGGTTGTTGTGCGCGTCTATCGAGCACTGCGTCTGTCAGTCATGTCCCGATGCGTCATCGTGTGCGACTTACACCACCAAAGAGGTGTTCCTGGAAGTTAAACGAGACGTCGGTGTGCTTCTCGATGACCTTCAGCACCTATCTGGGCGTTAGTGTGTGCCGGATATGTGCATTTGCCTCCTGCTGTGTGCCACGTACCTTGATGCCCTCTGCAATGACCTGTTGTCATATGTGAGCTCTGTGTCAGGAAAGCGCGAATGGAGCTGTTACCTCAGGTCCGACGCCGTCACCTGCACGGGATTAGCTGCATGCAAGTGATGAAACTGAAGAGTCGCACATACCACCAAGTACTACAATGTTGAAAGAAGGCATTATGGCTGTGTGTGTGCGATTGAGCGAGCATGAGTGTTGCTCTGAATTTCGATGAGCTTAGATCGCGGGGCCACTATGTCGACTGTGGGGTCGCCGATATCGGCGCTCTCGTGAACGAGGGCCACCGAGCATCCATCGACGTTCGCGAGCACCTCTCCACCCCAGACCATGAGCTGCCCACGAACGAGGTCGCTGGAGCAAAATCCATGGCTGGCTCCGCCGGCCAAGTTCACTGCGCCAATGTGTGCCCGTGTCGTTCTCCAAATATGTTCCCTGATCTAGGCACTTGTCAGGGTACATGTACATGTGTAACCACGTGGCTCAGATCACATGATACCCTATTGTAGCAGGCACTGCCCGGTGGGCAAGTGCACTTACCTGAGAGCTGAGAGCTTGAACAACACAACATCATACAGCACGACAACAGATAGTAATACACTCGTTGATCACAGTCTCCGACCGACACTGCTCACGCAGTTACAACATGTACCATACAGACTCCATGCACCTTCGCCACCGTGATGGGAGTTTCTTCATGGCTGCACAGCCTGAGTGTATCTCGCTGCTAGTGATGGATATGTATGAGCAGCCGTCTTGCAGGCTACAATCATTCTGTTCGAGACACTACTTACAACACGCAACCAAGAAGTCATCCACAAATTCTTCCTTGCCCAAATCAATCCACTCAACACAAATGTCACAATCCTGCCTTCTAAGCGTCCGTCACGCATACAGCCAAGACTCTCCTGGTCTCAGTATTCAGCACTCTCTGCCTAGCAGAACCGATGTTCATCCTCCAAACCGCCACAATCACATGCGCGACTGCTCCACCAGAGGTGACTGGTAGCAGCCAAGTACGACTGTCTTCCGTCCTTCAGTCGGGATTATACTAAGGCTGTCGCAGCGCGCGCTCTGGTACTCAGCGCTCGCTGTGTCCATGAAAGCTGCCTGGCAATCCTACAACGACGTCGAGCCAACAAAGCACGAACACACCAACATCAAGATGCTAGATTTCGCAGTCACCGCGACCTGGGAAGACTAGCTGTCATACTGGGCCACCGCGACAGATGGACCGTTGGCATTTAGTACAGAGACACCTGAGTGGTTCTCGGAGTTGCCGGAGGATGTGCAGAGTGTCAAGTTGGAAGAAGGAAGAGCTTGGGCGTCGATTGTTGGGGGCTTGAAAGGGGCGGCGCCTCGGAAGACAGGGAGAGCTGCATTGGGTGTGTTGGCAGGTGTCGCTGTTGCTACTGCTATCCTGTAGTGGCCATGTTGAAATACATGCGGCAGAGCGGTCTTACATCCAGGGGAGCGATGTGGCCGGCAGTAGCTTTGTCAAGTTACGGAAAGCCACTTCATCCAGAGCCAGGTAGCTCCTACGAAACCCCAGAAATGGAGTTGTAGCCGAATCATTTACTGCGCACGACCCTTGGCTCAGTGGGACCTTGACCTATGAGACGCAATATTCCACCCGCATTCTCCAACATCATCACTGTGATGGGACCGGGTGTGCGAAGTTGGAAACATTATGAGATGCGAATGCATATGAACCACCGCCGTCCCTGCTCAATAGCTATCCAGTATCAAACCACTCACAACACTTACTGTTCAACTTGCTTCGCTATGAAGTCCTTGTCCTATCTGTGGCTGCTGTGAGTCTGGTCAAAGTAAATCCGTACTACATGGTCCACACTTCTATTCCCCCCGGCGACCCAAACAGGTGGCAACCTTCTGATGGGGCTGACGAGGTCCTTAGGAAGCCCCTTACAACAATTGCAAGCTGACCAATGCCAGTTGAAATCCTGGAGCGAGGCCTACAGCTCATACAAAAGGTCAGGAATCGCAGCCTGGTTCTGCTAACAAACAGCCCATGCAAGCGAGCTATGGAAGGCTCAGGACGCGATCGGGCGCCTCGCGGCGACGGCGACAAAATACAACATACCCGCCGACGTCACCATAGCTGATCAGTATCACACCAACGTGGTCTACACCACCAGGGCAGACTGGTTCACAGCGCTGCTGGACGAAATACAGAGCATCAAGGTAACAGAGGCAACTGCTCTAGTTGCGATTGCAGAGGGTAGAGAGGTAGAGAGGTGGCGAATGAGCGAGAGCCCACAAAGGCCGGGAGCTCGAGGGGATCGGCCCCCAGGGAGACCGGCAAAGCTGCCCTGGGAGTATTTGCAGGTGTCGCTGTCGCTGCGATTGTTCTCTAGATGTCATCCCGACGTCCTTCGAGGCCTTGAGCGAGCCCTCGCGGCAAAGCGTATCAGGAGTCCTGCGTAGTAATAACTGGGAAGAAATGAGCACACTGATCGATGGATACTCCTGAATGAGAATTGGACCTATGCTGTTATCGTGCCGCTACGTCATTCTTATCGACTCGATCCTCGTCTCGAAGGTTGAAGTTGTGATCTTTCTATCTCCAACGTTACGCCGGCGGCAATCGCTCAACTCGCTACCGGAAGCGTTTCAAGGCCGTCCGCCTTATCGCAGAGATCGACAGCCCAGCAATTTCGATACCGTTTTTCCGCACTGCTACCCATAACGTACTTCCCCACAGAGTGCACAGAGTGCACAGAGTGATGTCGAGATCGTCTGGATACGCGTTGAATATGACGATGGTTCTGATGAGGGTCCAGCGCGTTGGAGTCGCGCAAGTGCGGTGTGCGGAGACAAGTCGAGGTGATCGACATGTCTGATATCACTAGTATGCAGCAGTTCCAAGATCCTGCTGGGCTGTCACCAGGCCACAGGTCAGCCGAACACAACTTCTGGGAGTCTGCTGCAAGCGGGCTGCGTTGCCTTCGACCGTTGAAGTGTCCGCGGAGGCACTCACATTGGCGATGATGCGAACTTTGGACCGTGTTCGTGTTGGGTGAAGTCTGAAACTCATTGCCTTTTCGGCATTGCTGTCGCAGGACTGAGCAGCTGAGCAGTGCGCTCTCGATAGCCCGTCGGCAGAGTCCCCACACCGGCCTTTGCTTGATCATGATCAGTTGCCGCGCACAAGGACAGCATCATGGAGCGAGGCCTGTGTTCAAGGATCGATACATCGTAGCGCACCTCGTATTTCTCGATGCAATCGATCGAGTGAGGGAAGGTAACTCGGGCGAAGACGAGGCTGTGTGACGGAAGCGTTCCACGGCCTCGACTGGACGTGCCCGATTGTAACGGTGACCCAAGCCACATCCAGCCACTTTGGGCCTGACAGCGATGTTTCTCCGCTGGGGCAGCTAAAAGTTGCAGGACGTGCGCCTGCATCGGCGCAAAACGCTCAAGCGCGGCCATGCGTTCACCCAGCGCGCCAGACCCTATCGGGAGTCAAGTGTGCCCCGCCCTGGTGCCCCGGTACGGCTTCCAGCGGAGGGCTGCGTGGCCAGCAAGTCGCATTCAGAAATGCCTTCAGAATTGATGCTCGCGGCGCAGGCTCCGTCAAAGGACGAAGGCGGTTGCAAATCAGAGGGGCGGTCGAACTAGACGAAAGATTGCCGTTCGCAGAGGAAGCCAACGAGAATTCGATGAGGTGGCTTCGTGTCTGTTTTGATTGGCCAGCCTTGGAAAGATAAGAGAGCCGCGCTAGTGAGCTGCCGTTGGCCCTTGTGGAAGGAACCCCCCGAACCCTGTGGAAGGAGCAAGAAGAAAGTGAGCAGGAGCACATTTGGGGCATGGGGAAGAGAGGCATGCGGACTATTAGCATTCGTTTGTGCTCCTTGAATTGGACTCTGGAGGCAGTCGATGTTGTGGCGGAGAGCAGCGCGATCGACTGCTGACAGCGAGTTATGATTCAACTTGGCCGAGTCTGCGCCGATACGACCCAGCGGCCATCCTGGCCACCGACGGCGCGAGCACAGAGTGACAGGGATGTTCGCTGTTGACCCGCTCCCATCGATTATGAGCAGCGGCCACTTAATTCACTGCTGTCCCCAGAGTAGAGCCTCACCCGGACAGCGAAACCTCTCCACAACCTCACGCGACACACTTCAGCTTTCTGCACCCCTCCACATCCCGTTCAATCCCAGACGATGCGCCGCTGAGCCAGCCCGGAGAATTGAGCCAGCCCGGCGTCTGCTGCGTCTGCTGTACCACCGATTTCCGTCCTCTTATCGCGAGCCCCTACGTCAGCTACCAATTGACGTTCACCGTCTGCACTCTCCAATACCAAACAAGCACCCCTTCCCCAGGTCGACCGTCGCACCGCACGCACTGCTGCCTGTCGCCGCGACCGCTCGCTCTGCATCCTCCCTTCCTGCACGCGAGCAACCCAGGGTCCTTCACCGCCAGAGTCGGCCCTTATCAGTCCCATTCCTTCGAGGACCCTTCAAACCCTCTAACCAGCGTATAAGCCGCCGAGCGCCTCACAGCCCGCCGAACACGACCATTCACACCATGGCAACCCAGTTCTCCACGGCGACTGCCATCCCCGCGCACCATGCGCCGTACCAGCACCATGCACACAGAAAGTCGACCCAGTACTCGCCCACGGGCACGCCCATGAACATCTCGCCCACTTCCCCACGCGAGGCGAACAATCTGATGAAGTACCACCAGTCGGTTCGCCCATCCAAACAGGCCTTGGGCGTCCCCGCTGCGCTCAGGCGCACAGAGCGGCCCTCCAAGCAGTCTCCGCCCAAGTACGATTCGGCATGCGCTTCGCCAAGCGGCGGTTGGGCTGTCAATGGCGGCTTAACGAGCGCGAACGACGGCCTAGGCACACCAGTCTCGCAAGTCAACAACGAGGACATGCACAGCATCTATAACGAGCTGCCCATGTCGCCCATCGCAGGTCCGATTACGCGCAACCACTGGCAGGTACGTTATTACTTTTTACTCATTCGTTGCCCATACTGGCATTAGCCTCCGCTCTGTCGCGTGCCCGAGTCGGTTGGGGTGGGCGGCTCTTACGTACAGCGCTCGGGGTGGATCCCTCTAGCGCTGTATTGAATCTTGCCAATATTCGCTCTCTACGCCGACCACCCGAGCGCACCACCAGACCTGCACCTCAACAGCATGTAGCTGCACGATGCAAGCCTTGTCTGTCACTGGTTGACCCTGGTGTCGCCGAGAGTGGCTGCAGGGCGGCGAATATCGTCGAGCTAAACATCCTCCAACTTCGCTGGAAGAATGTTTTGTTCCGGTGTTCGCTCGGTGGTCCATGTTACCCCACGCTAGAGGCTGCAACCGCCGCAGGGGGCCTGGTTCGCCTTGCTGCAGCCTCGGCCTGGAATAACTGGAGCCCGTGGGTCCTCTGTCAATGCTGTCAACCGTTCTAGACCAATCGTACTGACCAAACTTTGCAGGCGGACAGCTCCACTTCAGCATGCTCAGCGCCCTCGTGCCAGGTGCCATTTGGCCTTTTCAACCGCCGCCATCACTGTCGCAAGTGCGGTGGCATCTTCTGCGCACAGGACTCCTCTCAGCAGGTTCGTCTCGACGAGCTTGCCCGCTTCCACCCGGAAGGCGAGTGGCACCGCGCGTGTGATCGATGCCACGGCTCTTTCCGTGAGTGGGAGCACCTTCGCCTCAGCCGTAGCAACAGCGAGAGTTCGAGCGGTAGCGGTACCGCCGCACAGCCTGTCCAAGCACCCGTAGCAGCAAAGCGCCCAGAGGCCCGCGTCGGCAGTCTGGCGCAGAGCTTCCAGGGCGCGTGGAACTGGAGCACATTTTAGATTTCCTACCGAAGCTCAGACTTCAACACTGGATGGGCGGATCTCTGTTTCCATCTCTTTCCGATTCAATGATATCCGGACGACATAGGCAGTACACAGTACACGAGTACTGATGGTCCACCTCTTCACCTGCATAACAGCATTACATGGGCGTCCTGCATTTACCTGACTACCTCCACGGCGGTCCTCTGCATTCACTGCGCTTCAGCGTTTCCTACCGAAGCCATCTATAGAGCTGTCGCGGTCGAGAGTGACCGAGGGGACGGACTATGTGGGCGATGGCGGAAAGAGTGCATTTTCATGACTTTGTAGTGGTGGTTGTCTTACTAAGAGCACGTTTGGCTCTGGCGTTCTGAGTCGTTTTGCGGTTATGGCTCCCACGGCGTATATGTAGCGCCCGTCATGGTCGGTAATGGCGTAATGGCCTATGAATGAAATAATAATGAACACGTGCCTTGCCAATTATGATGTGATGTTCGAGCACTGCGATGGTGGTGTGGCGGTAGTGAGCTGATGTGGTGATTGCGGTGCTCAAAACCACAAACCAGGCGAGGACCGCCGCGACTGAAGGCAGGAGGCAGTCGAGACGCTGAGCGAGACGGGCACACAAGCGTTCAAGGAGACGAGCACGCATATATAATTAGACATGAAAGAGACCGAGTCGATGACGGACGTGGAGACAAAGCCATGGGTGAGGTGGACACCGGCGGTCTTGAGCCAATGGGAGTCGCAGCAGCACCGCAGACCCTGATGTCGCCATGTCAAGAATTGTTGCGCCTTCCACCAACTCCACGACGCTCAGCTCTACGGAATTAGGCTTTCCCGACCAGGTGCTTGGATCACCGACGCTTCGACGTGACTTTGCTCCATCCGAGCAATCACCATACGCCCGTTCCTGCTCGGAGTCTTCGGGGGCGCGCTGGCTGTAGCCCCTGCAAGAGCGTGTGGGACGTCGAGACGTCTGCTTGCGACCATGGCCACTGAGACCGTGTCGAGCGCGCCAGCGCAGAGCAGCGGCGCCGAAACGGCAAACGGGAAGACAAAACTCCACGGAAGGGCGTTCTACGAGAGCATCGGCAGCCCGAAGCTGATCCTTGCGCCCATGGTCGAGCAGTCGGAGTTCGTATGTTTCGTCGAGTCACTGTCCTACCGCGGCATTACTGACAGCAGTCCTCACAGGCGTGGCGGCTTCTCTCCCGCTCTTTCCTCCCAGCCTCGCAGCAGACGAACCTGCTAGCCTACTCGCCCATGTTTCACTCGCGCATGTTCGGTGAAAAGTCCAACTACCGCGACTCGCACTTCCAGCCCCTCAAATCGACCTTGCCCTCGCCGCCTGACTACTACCATGTCTCGCAACTGCCCGAGTCGGAGAGACATCTTGACGGGAACCCCGCTTTCGATCGGCCGCTGACCGTACAGTTCTGCTCCAACGACCCAGACGACCTTCTCACGGCTGCGAAACATGTCGCGCCGTTCTGCGATGCGGTCGATCTGAATCTCGGTTGTCCGCAAGGCATCGCAAAGAGGGGCAAGTACGGCGCGTTCTTACAAGAGGACTGGGACCTGATCGCAAGCATGATAAGGAAGTGCCACGAGGAGCTCGACGTGCCCATCACAGCCAAGATGCGCGTACTTGAGACAAAAGAGAGGACCCTGGCGTACGCGAAGTCGCTCTTGGACGCTGGCGCTAGTATCATCACTGTGCACGGCAGGCGGAGAGAGCAGAAGGGGCACAACACAGGCCTGGCGGACTGGACCTTCATACGATACTTGAGGGAAAACCTGCCCGCAGAGACGGTCATCTTCGCAAATGGCAACATTTTGCAGTACGACGACATCCGGGCCTGCTTGGATGCTACAGGCGCAGATGGTGTCATGAGCGCAGAAGGCAACCTCTACAATCCCACAATCTTCGCAGAGCCGCCTCCCGTCGGCAAAGAAGGCCGCGAGTACTGGCGCGGCAAAGACGGCAAGGGCGGTTACAGAATGGACGCAGTATTTCGGCGATACATGGACATCATCCACAGGTACGCTCTCGGGCAAGAACCACCAGCAAGGAAGCCGCTCTGGATGCCCGGCGACCCAGAAGACCTAGCGGCAGAAGCGACAGAAGAAGACGAAGGGCCGCCAAAGAAGAAGCAAAAGCAAACACCAAAACCAGCGGAGAAGAAGGGCACAAAGACAACTAACCCCAACCTGACCGCCATGCAAGCACACCTCTTTCACCTCCTCCGGCCGCTTGTATCCCAACACCACAATGTCCGTGACGCCCTTGCTCGCTCACGCACAGGTGACATTGACGCCTTCGAAAATGTCCTCGCCCTTACCGAAGCAGCCGTCAAGCAGGGTATTACCGCCTACGAGGCCGAGCAGGCAAACAGCACCTCGACCACAGATCCCACACCAGTGCCGGAAGTTCTCGAAAACCTCGACCCCTACGAGTCCTCTCTCGCCACCGTTGCGCGCTGCAAGCGCCCCTACTGGGTGTGTCAGCCTTACGTACGGCCTCTGCCGAAGGAGGCGATTGAGAAGGGGAGTATGAGTTTGAGTAAGAAGGAGAAGAGGAGGTTGGAAATTGAGGCTGAGGAGGCGAGGAAGGCGGGGCTGGAGCCGCAGGGGAGGGTACAGATAGAGAGCATGAAGAACGGGGAGGCCAAGGGAGTACAAAGCCTCGAAGCAAATGAGAAGAAGAATACCAAGAGTGATGGGGTGGTCGAAGAGCCCAAGGAGGGTGTGGTCTGTGGGTGATGTGGGCTGGCAGATGGATGTAGTCAAGAAGATGGATATACCCAGTCAAGGTCAAGATCTAGTATTTGCTTCACGGTATCACATGCTTAAGAGGTGGTTTGCACTGAAGAAGATGAGGAGTAAAGGCTGGAGAATGTGGTTCGGAAACGGAGAGACCCAGCTGATCAGGGCTTCACATGGCACGCCTGGAGCGTGGTCACATCGATGCCCTGAACGGCGCCGTGACCGAAAAGCCACAAAAGGGTGTCTCCTGTGAATGAAATGGCGATGTCGAAACCCTCGTATGCTCCAGCAGTGCCTCAGCTCCACCGAAGGCAGGCCAGCTTCACCAGTCGCGCTCAGTTATGGCTTTGTAGATTTTGCTGTCGCGCGGCTGGTATTCCTGCCTCTGAGGATGCTACAGGACTGTCCTGGAGACGATCAATATGTGCACTGAGAGCAGGACATTCCTGAAACACTTCTAGAGCTATTTACAACGAGGTGTGCCTGCTGTTCGAATCAGCATATGCCTTCCTTGATTTCACCTTACCGTCACCATGACCGGCAGCACCACTTCCATCCGCACCCTGATGGGCCAACGCCATGCGTTGCTCACATAGCAACGCGTGCAGAGCTACTTTTGCTTCCACGCGTTGAACGCGTCAATATATAGAGCCAAAACTCGACATGCGCGCAGTCCCTCCACCGCCTCGGAATACTCTAGTAGCACGGCTATGACCAAGAACACAAGCGCGAAAGCCCAGCATGGCAACACCGACTGACTGCAGAGACTACTGAAGCCGCACGAACGATGAGACAAGTTGCACTTCCACGCGCTAAAGCCAACAGCACCGCAGCGGTCTTCTCGAGGAGAAAGAAATAGACAATAGAGACGTTCACATGATGCCATCCTTGGTTCAACCCCGATCTTTCCCGGTACCGTCATAGTACCCTCCAAAGCCGACGCACGACAAAATGACGCAACGCTCATACAAGGGTTCGAGCGGTCCCTGCAAAATGCCAGCACACAACTCCACTGGGTGGACGGATGAGGATGCAGCGGGTTCCTGGGAGCAGGTGTCGTATGGTACGAGAAAGATGAGTACGTCTCTAACAGCTACCGACTTGGTCCCAACACTGGAGGGAACAATAGCGACAGCGAAGTCTTTGCTATTGCGGCCGCCTTGCGCCGGGCGAAAAGACTCGTCGAGAGAGGTAAGACGCTCTTACTTGTTAAGATCTTTTCTGGTGCGCTGTACATCTTGTGCAGTATTAATTACGCATCATTAGGGACGGTGAGTGTCATACCTTTGGTCACCTCCTGGTAAATATGACAGCATTAGGGGTCTTATATCATTGCGCTCATTGGCTCTCCAAGTGCGATGTCCGGATCGAGTTGGTGTGGGTCAAAGGCCACGCAAATAGTGAAGGTAACGTTCTCGCAGATCAAGCGGCAGCCGAAATTGTCGTGGAACAGACTGAGAACGCACTTTCACCAGTGCCCTTTCTCTCAGTTGTTAAGACCGAGCTCGACGTCCCACAGATATGGTGCGACCTTGGTCAGGACTGGATCGAGAAATGGTTTTGGCGCGCGAACCACGAACACGTGGTCGCGGATCGCAAACAAACCACGCGGATCAGAAGGCAGAAATGATGGCTATCGCCCGAAGGTCCTAACCATTGGCACGAGACGTCATTGCCCAACGATCAGGAAGATCTAAACCTACTCGGACCAAGCGAAAATGACTATGCTGCCGTTCAGCTACACAACAGTCTCCAAGGTATGATGGAAGATGCAATCGAGGCATACTATTCCGAAATGCCTCTTGCTATTGTGGGCGATTCTTTGATCAGATTGTGCAAGATACGCAAAAAGCTTCAAACGGTAATCGCTGCTGTCATCAAACGTTCGAGGTAAGCTCCTCCAGCCTCTCTGTTGGTTTGAACCCGTTCTTCAAGATCTAACGTGCACTCAAGGTACGATAATGTAGCAGACACAGTTAACAAAGCGTCGAAACTTGACGAACAAATTCAGGCATACCAAGGTCAGCTTGTGAGCGAATAAAGACGTACATGAAGGCAGGAGCAGGCACAAAAGTGGCCACAAGTCGCAAAAGCACGGGGTCGTATATCGATCGAAATGCGGAGACGGCAGAGCTTGACTTCCTCCGCAGACGATGAGACTAACTTTGTCGAGATCTCCAAGTCTCGCTTTCTCGAGAGCATGGCCATCGACGTCAAACCCGCGGAGCCCGAAGTGCAGGGACACAATGAGAGTCCGGGGGAAGTCACCTTACCAGGGCCTTGAGTGGGCGACGGAATACTGCACCTTCTGAGAAAGACGAGTCCCGAGTTCAATGCTGGGATACAAGGCCAGGATCGTATGCCGTCAGCTGACCGCCAGATCGCAAGGCCGTTGCCTATCTGAAGTTTCGCTTAGTCTACAACTAAAGATATACCCCTTCGAAGACCTTCCCCTCTCCTTCACTCGGGAATTTTAATGGTCGGTATTAAAGGGTGAGGCGTACCGCGGTGTCAGTCGTGATAGCGCTTTCGAGTGTTCAAGATCACGAGGTCAGGTCGCTGTACAACATTGACGTACCCTTCATTCGGGTAACTCCCATCCAATCCCCGCATCTTGTTGTAGTACGAGAGGTGTCGCGTGGACTGAGCGCGTGTCTGTCTGTCGATGTTGAGCTCAGGAAGCATTTTGTAGCTGCGTGAGCAGTGTCGATCGGAGACTATGATCAACGAGTGTATTGCTATCTGTTGTCGTGTTGTGATGTTCTATTGTTCAAGCTCTCAGCTTTCAGGTAAGTGCACTTGCCCACTGGGCAGTGCCTGCTACAATAGGGTATCATGTGATCTGAGCCACGTGGTTACACATTTACTATAGACTATGGTTGGAAGGCTAAAATAGCCTACGATCACATGGGTAGCGATACGTGCCAACATGGTACGTTTCTTTATTGACGCAAATGTCTGTGTTGGTAAATGGGAAGTTGTATATCAAGCAGTGAAAAATCTGACCTTCACTCATTGTTGCTTTTGTGCACATGACCCTTCGGTTGTCTGTCACTTGAGTCTCACTGACCCCACGCAAGTCATTTCTAGACCACACACTACCCCACTACTAATTCTCAACTATGTGACTGCCATTAGTCACGGTAGTGGCCATTGCCTTCTGCGTCGCCGGCCGCGTGCTCGACATCAATCAAAGAACACCAAATGCCTCCCAGATGGGTCCTCCCAACGTTTGGCTGACTGGAAGGCCAGAGACCTCACTAAGACACGTCGGCCGCAAGATCAAGTTCAAGCTAGACGGCTCAGTTCAAGGCTTCTTCGACGATGACTACGCTAGCGATGCCGACTGGGAGAAGTTCACCAAGAAAGGCAGCGCACTGGTACGACAGCGTGGAGAATTTTGCTTTCAACGAGCTGACCATACATAAAGATGTGCGGCCTCAATTGCGACGACAAAGAAGCCGGTCTCCAGATGGGCGACACGCGCACTCCTCCTTCTTCGGCAAGCCCGTGGTCTGGCGATCTCAGGCAAGAGATGGCAGCTTGGAAATGGACCGAGATCAATCCATCAACGTACTCGTGTAAAATGAACGATCACTGGAAGGTCCCCGAGGCGATGAAAGCCCTCAAGCTGGATGGTAAGCCGCAGTCCGAGAGCGGAGAGAACGTGTGCTACCGTGTTGAGCACTGGGATCCCAGCCTTGCAGAGAATGGAAGCCAAATTCCAGCGATTAATCAGTGGTACAATATCGACAAGACTGAATACCAGGTTTGTTCTATCCCACCCTAAAGACGTTGCACCTGCTAACAGCAATCTCCCAGGCCACAAACGCACACTACGAATTTGGCCTCAATCCTTCCGGCGGCGCTATCTACGGCTACTTCCTCGACTCACCTGTCTACGCTGCCTCCACATTGTGGCACAACAATCGAAAGCCCGCGGATCCGGCGAAGCTACCAAAACTGCGCGCGTTTTCGGATGTGCTGTGGGGGTACTGGAACCGCGATAATCCAGATGTGAAGAACATCAAGTACTTCCTCATGATGGGGATTAGCAATGACCAGACTAATGCTATTATCGCTACATGTCTGCACAACAAGAAAGAAGCTCTGAAAGAGTGGCCGGGAGTGGAGTTTGATACGGCATCTGATGAGGGCCATGTATTGCTGGGAAGCCCAAATGGAGCCGCGTTCGCATACTTTCTGATGCAGCATAAGGCTGAGTTGGGGAACAAGATAATTGGCAAGGTGACGGTGTTTAGAGCGGAGATTGATGATGACTTGGCCTTTATGGACCCAAACCTGGTATTTCATGTGGAGGATGTGAAGGAGAAGGATGGGGAAGAGAAAGAGATTAATGATGACACTGAGCGGGACCGAGATGGATCTGGGCAGGCGAGGGCTTCTTCGAGGACTTTCAAGCTCTGAAGCAGCGCTTTTAAGATTCTGGTTTCGGTACTAGGCTCGACATGTGTAGCGGCGAGGCATCTATCTCAGGGCATGCGAATGACTGTAAAGGGTCAGCACTACGTACTACCTTACCTAGGGCTCGAGATTAATAAATAGCCTGTCTGCAGTATCTACAACTTCGTCACTGTAGCGAGACTTGCGCTTCAGGTGGAGATGAACTGCCAACAATCAAGGAGGCAGTCACGTGAATTTGGACCTTGAGATTATATCACGCTTGTTCCGGAACAGTAATGTGTTATGCAGATTAACGTGATTGATGCGCTACCTTCATGTTGTTGAATGTAGGAAAGATCGTCGAGACGTCTCGATGGCGGAGAAGCAGCGAAGGTAAGGTCTCACCCAATCAGGAAAGGGCGATTGATTGCGCCAAGTGTGCTGTTCACGCCACCTGCCACCTCGCATCTGGCCCCGACGTCACAATCCAAACACCTCGATTGTATATCTCTCAGCGGCAATATCGTCACCTTTGGAACCACACATCTCTACTGCTATATCTTTGTACTGCATCTGTAGCACTCGATACACAACTCGCAACCTTGTGCTTCCCCACACTTGGTTCCCCGCGTTTCGGTAAGATTAGGGCCGCTTTTCCCACGTCACTGCGCCTAGCTCGGGCCATCGCGCAAGATGTCCATTGATCTCGACGTTGAAGCTGCCACCGTCGAAAGCGCGGATGCTCGACGTGACCGTCTCGACAGGCTTCCTGATGGGCTCTTGCTTCAGATCTTCGAGCTGTTGGGGCACGCGTCCAAGCGCAATTTGTGCAACGTGTCGCGACTTAACAAGCGCTATCACCGCTTGAGTGATGCTGTGCTCTACAAGAGTATTCTGTTCGAGACGCCAGATTTACATCTCACTTTCAGTGAATCACTGGGGCGTCGACCGCGACGCGGGTCATCGATATTTGAAGTGAAGTTGGCGTACCCGTCACATGCGCTGTCCGAGCTCGCTCTCGATGCTCCACTGCGACATCACTACGACCCATCGCATTCACTGTCAAGAATGTCCAACCTCGAGAGACTGGACATCGCATTGCCAGACAAGCTGTTGCACGGCATCGGGTGCCTGTTCAACGGGCCGTTCGATCTTGCCTGCCTTAAGATATGTCGTCTTTTCTACCAATGCCCCGACGATGGATACTGGGACCTCCGCGAGAACATCCACATCTTTGCTCATCCCGAGCTCGAGAGTCTGACCATTCGAAGAGCCAGATTGGACGACAGAGGATTCGATTCTCTTGAGCGCCCGCACGAGACAGCGTTGAAGAAGCTGCACTTGATTGAATGCGACATCAGCGACGACACTCTGTCGGACGTTCTTGAGTTTCCCATAGGCCTCGAGGAATTTGTTATGACACAGCTCGAGGACCCGGAACCAAATGTAGAGGAAAGCTCTGACAGCTTCAGTGACTACATTATCGCGCTTGGATCTCAAGCGCATTCACTGAAAAGCATCACCATCGACTTCCCTAGCCTCGGCTGTCGGAAAACTTTACGCATGAGAGAATTCGAAGCACTCAAGGAGCTGCGCATGAACTGGGATTACCAATTATTCGGCAAGTCGTCCAAGAAGCCGCGCATGTACTCAGTGGGCCTGCCTCCGGAGCTTGAGGTCTTGGAGTTCTTCAACGAATTGGGGAAAGACGACGAGGTGACTGATCTCTTACTGGCAATGCTTGAGCAGAAGCATGTCGTTGCGCGGTCGCTGAGGAAGATGATTGTGGTCGAAGGGAACGACAAGATTTTGATGGAACTGAAAAGCGTTTGCAAAGAGCAAAGACTGCAGCTAGACATCATTGGAGAGTTAGATCAAAGCGAAGACGAAGATGAAGACGTAGACGGAGACGTAGACACCAGCGAAGGGGACGACAATTCAGAATAGAGTATCAGGACACGTACGAGTACGTAAAACCGCTTGGCTGCCGTTGCTTCAAGCTCCACCCCCAGCAGCCAAGACGGTTGCTGTCCCGGCTGATTGAGTTTGCGGGGTGCACCCGTAATTCCACCACTCAGATAAACTTAGACGCAATGAAGGGCTTCCTCTTTGGACGCGGAGGACTGCCAATACACCAACCCTTTAATGGCGGTCTGATGGATGTCCATACCCGCCTTCGATCCACGGCAACGTCCAGCTGCTCCGAGAATATATACAAAAGGTCACATTGCATTTTACTATTGAGAAACCCGACAAAACTCTGGTGTCTTTCTATCAGGAACCGGGCAGATCAATTGTTTACTTAACTCTCATAATGCGCTCCGCCATCTTCACCATATTGCTTGGTAGTGCCGCAGCACTGAAGAATGGGGTGGGCAAACTCCCAAAGATGGGCTACAACAGTACATTTACGATGGTCAATCTCGAGATGCTCTCTGACACCATCTCTAGCATTCAATGCGTTCGGCTGCAACTACAATGAGGAGAAGCTTCTGGCCATGGCGCATTCTATGGTAGAAGAGGGTCTTGTTGAGGCAGGGTACAACTCGATCATCTTCGATGACTGCTTTACGAAGAAAGAGAGAGGAAACAATAGCGAGCTGCTCGAAGGCGGGTCGTTAATTACCCGCAGGATGCCGGTTCACTGACCAGCAATACAGATCCTGAGAGGTTCCCCTCGGGTATGCGAAGCCTGACCGACAAGCTCAAAGCTCTTGGAGTTTCTGCATCGGCATACTCGGATGCTGGTTACAAGACATGCGGTGGATACCCCGGCTCGTATGGCCACGAGGAGCAGGACCTTCAGACATTCAGCGAATGGGGTTTCAATTATCTCAAGTATGATAACTGCTACATACCGTTTGACAATGTAACCCAGGAGAATGTGTATGGTCGTTATCAGCGTATGGCTGATGCCATTGCTGCTCGGGCGGCAGACAAACAGGAAAACCCATTTTGGTTTTCTATCTGCGAGTGGGGCTGGCAACAACCATGGATCTGGGGCAAACGACTTGGACACAGCTGGCGCATCAATGGCGACATCAAACCATGGTGGAACTCGCTCGCGGCAATCATTGACAATGCTAGCTTCCAATACTGGGCAACCGACTTTTATGGCCACAACGACATGGACATGCTGGAGGTTGGTAACACTGGCCAAGGTGATCCAATTGGCAACCTCACGTATGACGAAGCGAAGAGCCACTTCACCGTATGGGCCCTCCTCAAAAGTCCGCTCTTCATCTCCACAAACTTGCCCAACACAACCGAGGAGGAACGCGACATCTTGAAGAATCCCGACATCATCAAGATTCACCAAGATCCCAATGTCGGAGAATCGATCGCACCCTTCCGCTGGGGTAACGATCAGCCTGACTTCGTATCGAATGCCACCCACCCAGCACAATACTGGTCCGGCAACAGCAGCTACGGTGTTGTCTTCATGCTACTGAACAACCTCGATATTTCCCAGGACATGTTCTTCAACCTCACCGAAAGCTGGGCGATTCGCGCCGGCCGCCTCTACGATGTATACGACATGTGGACGCACACAAATAACGGAACAGCGCTGCGCAACATGACTGTCGCGCTGCCGCCACACGGCGTCGTGGCACTGTTGTTGAATGATGCGGGACCAGAGTCAGACCCGAGCGCGTTGGGTCTACCGTATTGTGGGATTTACTGGCAGTGCACTTGGCCAAACGGGACGTACTACAGTAACTGAGAACGAGAGGGTGACAGTGATGTGATTCTCTCTGCTAAGGATATATTTGGAGCTCATATTCGCATCCAAAACGGAGGCCGTCTTCCGTGACAAAAACGCTAGTAATAGCATCAACTGCCTTGCTGACGCCAGAGATTCCGAATTTAGCCCAGAATCTCCTCATGTTCTCTAAAGTGGTTGAATAGGAGCTCACTTTGGTGGACACCGTGATGGACTTGGGTGCTCGAGACGGGACACTGTCACATGTAAGGATTCATGCTACCTAGTCGTTCCCGTCTGGGAAGATCACCAGTTCAGACCTTGCTTAGGAACTCGTTCGCGACAAATCGACTTGCCTACTGTGTCTCGATATCATTGGCGGTGACGAAACGGAGCGCTCGTATGCGCCGGACGCAAGCAACAGCCGCGTGCTGTGTGCACGGCGAACAAGCTCACTCAAGCAATCTTAGCAAGCTTATGTTGCGGCATATCACATCATTTAATTTCGTCTTGCCCCGAATACAAATGAAAGAGCATGCTATCTGGATTGCAACTGTCGCAATACCTCGTGAACTGCCTCTTCGGGGCTAGCGGAGCCACTATGATCCTTGCCAAGTGTCGGCAGAACTGATAAGCAAAAACAAGCTTTTTTGCAGCTCATTTATTTACACCTGGACTAGTGACTGAGGACGACTAACCATCGCCACCCATCGTTGTGAGTTCTTTCCAAGTCTGGGCGCTGCTGGCCACTGCGCTTGAGAGCCTGAAGCTTAAAACATCGAAAAAGCGAGACCACGGGCGATCACCTGCAGTAAGAAGCAAGCAGACTTACATTTCACTCGCAAGTTTGTGTTGCCCTCAAGTTAAGGGTATTCAAAGTTATATTACAACGGCATTGCAGATCAGGAAGTCTTGCACGTTGGGTCTTCGGCTTGTAGTTTCCCAAAGAGGAAGGCACGATGTTTGCAAACAGGACGACTAGCATCAACGCAGTACTGGATCATGACATTCGGCGAGTCGCGCAGCGTTCGGAAACAAATGACTAGCATCCATGCGAATATCAGAGCCATCGCTGTATCGCCATATGATCACACGCAACGGTCAAATGCACGAATGCTGTCTGCAAGCGCGACCATATCCAATGAACACTTTGATGTGAGAACGCCTTACCGAATTGGACTTGTCAACCGCTATCTTACTTTGACCGACCATCAATATAAGTCGCCCGGAACTGCACCCGATCAGTAGAGATTAGGAAGGTATCATTGAAGGCCACATCCAGGGGCTATCGTAACATGCTACGGAGCATTCTCATGTAACTGCGAACCGCAAGGTATAATGTTCTGAGACTATTTCCAGCGATTGGTGAGCTCTCATATAAAGGTCAGCAGATTCTTCTCTTTCGTTTACCTCACAGCAACACAGTCGCTCCGCATATCTCTTCCAGTCAAGTCTTTGTTTCGCCGTCGAAACCAGTAACTTCTTCCCTCCATCACAATGAAGTTTTCCGTCGCTTTCGTCTCTGCAGCCCTCGCTGGCGCAGTTTTGGCTCGCCCATCCAGTCTTGCTCAGCGCGTCCAGTCTCGTGCTGACGGTACTCGCCGCCACCGAACTCAGCCTATGGTCAAGGTCGGCAGCAGCGTCAAGGAGAACGCCAAGTTCGTTGCTGACACCGGCAATACCACTGCTCATGTCGATTATTCCTCCAACTGGTCCGGTGCGGTCCTTGAGCAGCCATCATCTGGTTACTTCACGTCTGCCACCGGCCGCTTCACGGTTCCTACTCCTCAGCACGTCGGCTCTGACGGCACCGAGTATTCGACCGCATGGGTCGGAATCGATGGTGACTCTTGCGCCAGTGGCCTTCTTCAGGCTGGTGTCGACTTCACCGTAACTGCCTCCGGTGACGTTTCTTACGACTCCTGGTATGAGTGGTACCCCGACTACTCCTACGACTTCAGCAACTTCGACGTGGAGGCTGGCGATGTCATCCAAGTCGACATCACTGCAACCTCGACCACTAAGGGCACTGTCAAGCTCACGAACGTCAGCACCGGCAAGAGTGTCAGCAAGACTTTGAGTGCGCCCAGTGGCTCTGTTCTGTGCCGTCAGAACGCTGAGTGGATTGTGGAGGACTTCGAGCAGAACGGTAGCCTCGTTGCCCTTAACAACTTCGACAGTGTTGTCTTCAGTCACGCTAGCGCTGCGCTCAGCACTGGCGGATCAGACGACCTAAGCTCTGCTACCATCATCGACCTCAAGCAGGGTAGCACTGTTTACACTGATGTTACTATTGACAGTGGCTCTCAGGTTAGTGTCACCTACGTTTAAGATTTCAACGCACAGGAAGTAGCTAGTCTGATCAATGGACCTGGAGGATCTGGGGCTGGCTAGGTGATTGATGCTGTTAACAATCGTAAAGTCACGGATAGTAGAAGTGTCCGGGACTTAGTCACACCGAAGTTAAGGCATTGTAGTCTAATAAACAAAATCAAGCCTGTACAGCCATTGCGTACCGTGCCCCACCCCATGATGCACACCAACTCGTTCTACACGCAAGGTCTCATAATGAGCCACACACAATGGCAATTATCACAATATTTCTTTGTGGAGTACTCTATAGTTCTACGCAACAAAGTCCCTCCACACAAATTAATTATACAGAGTGGCTGTTCGGCTGCTGCGTGTGGTGTGGGTGCGCAGCTCGCGTGCAGGCTCAGGTGCAATAGCATTATTACAAGCACCTGCAGCAACACGCTTTTGCTTTTTTCTTGTTGCAGGAGCTTGTGAAGCTATGCGCTTGTTTTTATCATGCAATTGGGAGGCTTTTTGAGCGTTGCGAGCCTCTTTGTCCTTACGTCTCTGCTCTTTGCGAGCATTAATGGCAGCGCGCTCTTGCTCCCGCTTTTTCCTCCGCGCCTCTTGGTCTTGTGCACGCTGCACCTTTGCTTCCTCTTTAAGCTGTTGTTAAGTAGCTTATTAGCCTTCTTTAGCTCCTTCATCTCAGCCTTTTTAAGTTCCTCTGTATGCGTAGTCTCCTTTAGAATCTGCTCACGCCGGTGAGCTTCACTAAATTGTCAAGGTGAGTGCCACTGTGTGCCGCCCTGGTAATTTAGGTTATGCTTGTTAAGATTAAGTGCTCTGCTCTTCTTTTTTTTTACTTCTTCTTAGCCTTGCGATCCTTAATTACCGTGTCCGTGCGCGCAATGCGCCGAACCTCCCTTGTGCGCACCGCCAAACTTGAGGCTATAGAGCCACATACAATAACGTAGATTATCACCGAGCCGGCCATATCACCGAACCGGCCATTTTCTCTTAGCACAACTAACTGTAACGGTCTAGACTCTAAAGCTAAAGATGAGCTAGAGCTAGCCGGTTACATTAGCTTAGCCGGCTTGGCTTAAGCTAGATATATATTATCTACGCAGTTAACTAGACGTCTAGTTAACTTGTGCATGCTTTTTAGCAAAAGTTGTTAGGAAGTAGATATCCTTTATTGGACTTTGGCCAGACTACTACACTAACACAAGTTACTATAACTACAACTGCTTGCTATTCAACAACACCAAAACACAAATTGTCCAGATATCTCTCTTCTTGCCTGCACACTTACTACAACATCATCAAACACGACTTGTCCAGATATCTCTCTTCTACCCTGCGTCCATCTCAAGCCAACTCGGATATACTACCCTGAAACTCCCAGAGCCTCTAGACACCTGGTTGCCTCGCGCTGCCTGGTGCAAGAGTGCCGCCCTCCTGTTCAAATTTTCAAATTTTCACTGCACAGACTACCTACCCTTATCAGAAAATCTTATCTTATTAAAGACCTTATCTACAAGAACACTAAAAACCTAAAAAAATAGCCTGCCTACACAATAGACAGCAATAAGCCTTTGCTTAGTTTTCTGCTTCCTAACCTTACACTCTATTCCTAGAGGTCTACTTGTTAGGCTAGTAAGAATAAAGTATAACGTGTCTCACAAGCGAGCGCCGCACCCAACTGATGTAGTAGTCTGGCCAAAGGCCAATAAAGGATATCTACTTCCTAACAACTTTTGCTAAAAAGCATGCACAAGTTAACTAGACGCCTAGTTAACTGCGTAGATAATATATATCCAGCTTAAGCCAAGCCGGCTAAGCTAATGTAACTGGCTAACTCTAGCTCTTCTTTAGCTTTAGAGTCTAGACCGTTACAACTGAGCGCCGCACTTTCAACAGCAGAACGCCTGCGCAGCGCTATATCACAACACAACACAAATAAATAATTGTTTGCAGGCCTAGATAGTATTATTTAGAAGCTTTACTATTATCTGTGTCCTCTATTTCTACCTTATAAATGCAGGAATTATGTCTAATCTTACTACAATGCCTGTAGTGTTGTCTAACACACACCCTCTTTATAGGCATCTTGCCCTTACTACAACCCCTACCCTCCTTTTTAGTAATTAAGTTAGCTACTTTGCTAACTATAAGGGTCTCCTCTGCGCGTATATATTATTGCTTACAGGTCTTATACTTTGTAGACGCTTCTATAGTGTCTTAAAGGTAGCCTATTTCCTCCTGCATTAACACTTTATTATAAGCTATCTACTAAGCGCCCTTTGCTAAGTATTTAACCTGCTTATCTAGCAAACTTGCTAGAGACCCTTAATAGATTTAAATCTACTTTTAAATTAGAGTTAACTGCTCCTCTACTTTGTAAGCAGTGTGTGGTGTCTTTGGCTCCTAGGCAACGTTGCTAGGTTTTAGTGGCGTTGGCGTGCGCAGGCGCACATTAAGCTTTAATAACACCACCTCTAGGTTGTGTAGGACTAGCCTAGCACCTCTAAAGCCTGCGCGAACGTTCTCTCTAGTAAATGCCTTACTAAATACTAATTTAAAGGCTGGCAGGAAGGTTTCCTTGTTAATATAGTGGATGTGACTGCGTGCTAAGGCCGAAACCTCGTCGCTATACAGGCGCTTTAGTGGCAAGAAGCAGGCGACATTAAGTGGCTGCAACAGGTGCGACGAGTGTGGGGGCATACAGAGAGTGATTATCTTCTTCTCTCTGCAGAGATCTTAGAAAGCCACTAAGCAGTGGCTCTTATAGCTGTTAATAATAAGTAGCTAGTAGACCCTAACTAGCTTCGCATGCGTATTGAAGTAGTGGAGCTAGGCAAGCGCTAGATTATTGTTAGTCTAGCTAGTAGGACTAATATTAATAACCTAGTCCTGTAGGAGGTCCTTAGTAAACTAGTTAGAGATAAGAACCTTACCTGTAAGGATAAGGAATAATAGGATAACCTTCTCTATTAACCTAACACCTTATACTAGGGTAACCTACTTATAATTATAAGGTTAGATCTTCTTCTACTTCCTAGGCTTCTCTAAGCCTGTTACTACTAGCTATAACAAGATCTTGCCTATTAGGAAGCTAGACTTATTTAAGTTGTACACATCCTTGGCTATAATACTATACTTCGCCTTTATAGACTAAACAAGCGTGAACTATGGCTGGATAACTGCTGGGTCCTCGCAGGCAGCCCGCTGGCGATTGTATAGGCGGGTCCACCGCTTCTAGAGCTCTAGTGTACGCTTTACCAAGTTGTTAACCTAGTTCTTGCTAACAGGCTTTGCGCTGCGCTCTCTTAGCAGTTTATCTGCTATATCTTGTACGTCTGCCTTTAAGGAGGGTAGGCCACGCGCAGACTCCTTAAGTATATGTAGTATAACTGCCTCCTCTTCTAGCTTTGTAAGGCGCTTTGCATTTAGCTTGCAGTCTTGTTAAGAGCGTGTTCTGTTACGTTAGCGTTAGATTGTTTGTTTAGGCACTTTGTAGATTGATTGATTGATTGATTGCTTGATTGATTGATTGATTAGTTTAACGTCCTGTGTGAGTCTAAGACTATATAGGACGAGAGCAGTGAGGCTGCTCTAGTAATTTACAAGTTTTTTCTGTATAAGGGAATAGTATATATAGGTTTGTAGACATATAGTAAGAGCCTGTGCTCTAGTTATAGACAAAGGAAATTAGTTGTCTGTTGTTTGCTGTAGGTACTACTTGCGCGTGCCTACTTTAGTTTCTTAAATAAAAGCTAGAGTAGCTTAGATTCCCCTATTTATGTCTAGGAGAAGAGGCATTGTTAGCCTTGTCTCCTGTAGGCTGCTCTTTATTTTCTTTCTTGCTTCTCTGTAGTTTCTATAGCTAAGCAGTAGGTGTTAAGGTGTTTGTGTATATCTGTAGCTGTATTTAGAGCTTTCTATTTTTTGTCTATTATATAGGTATGCTTTGTTGTATCTCTGTTTAAGTTTAAGCTAACGTGATCCACCATCGCTTCGGCCACACCATCGATTCGGCCACCCTGCCAAGCACACCTCACATTCCACATCATAACTCAATGCCGCAACCACCTAATCCTGAGCTGCTTTCTTGTGAGGATAGAATACTCTTTACACTTAAAGCTATTAAATGCGACACGTTATTAAGTATAAGACGCGCTGCTGCTATCTATAACGTTCCTTAAAGCACCCTTGGTGACCAACACGCTAGCATGACTGCACAACGCGATCTCTACCCTAGCCACTTGAATCTTTCAAAGCATGAAGAGGAGGTGCTTATACAAATAATAAGGAAGCTTGATGAGCGAGGATTTGCTCCTACGCTTCCGTACGTTTGAGATATGGCCAACCAACTGCTTGCCGTACGCGATGGAGGGAGGGTTGGCACTAACTGGGTCTCCTGGCTTGTAAGCCGGCGCGCCGACGTCAAGTCGCAGGTTACCCGCCTGCGCGATCGCCAGAGGGTCCTCTGCAGCGATCCTGAGGTTATAAGCCCCTGGTTTAACCTTGTGCGCAACGTCAAAGCTAAGTATGGTATCCTGGACAAAGATACCTACAACTTCAATAAGACAGGCTTCCAAATAGGCGTTAGAGGGTCTGTTAAAGTTGTTACCGCGTTAGAGAGGCGCATAAAGCCACTTAGAGTCTAACCTAGCAATTGTGAGTGGATAACCTTAATTGCTGGTATTAACACCATGGGGTGGTCTATACCACCCTTTTTTATACTTAAAGGAAAGCACCACAACTAAGCTTAGTACTACTAAAAAGATAAGGACTAGAGGATTGCTGTTAGTAAGAATAGCTAGACAACAAACAAGATTAGTTTGGCTTAGTTAGAGCACTTTTTAAAGCATACTAACGCGCGTATAGTTAGTAGTTACTAACTACTTATACTTAATAGCTATAAGAGCCACTAATCACTTTTTTTCTAAAACAAGTGTGAAGAAAGTAAGGTTATTACCCTTTGCATGCCTGCTTATGCCTCACACCTCCTTCAGCTGCTTGATGTAGGTTGTTTTACCGCGTTAAAGCGTGCGTACAAGAAAGAGATTAGAGCCTTAGCAAACAGCTACATTAACTATATTAATAAGAAAGCATTCCTAGACACCTACAGTAAGGTGCATGAGGGTGTTTTCTTGTCTAATAATATTAGATCTGGCTTTAGAGCAGCTAGTTTAGTTCTAGATAACCTAGGGGTGGTGCTATTAAAGCTTGATGTGAAGCTTTGTACGCCAACTCCACCTCTGCCAACTGCCACCTCCTAGCAACTAAGGACTCCAAGCAACGCGCTTGAGATAGGTGCACAATCAACCTTACTCTCAAACTGGATTCGAACGCACAGCAGCTCATCTCCAGCTTCAATGATTGAGATGGTGCGGCAGTTCTAGAAAGGAGCTGAAATGATGGTTCATTCTTAGACGCTTTTGGCTGCTCAGATCGCTAACTTAGAGGCGGCTAACAACGCTGCTTCTGCACGTAAAAGTCGCAAAAAAAAGTGTATCTAGGAAGGAGGGACCCTATCACAGGCAGAGGCAGAGGTAATAATTGCTAAGAGGGAGGTGGCGGAGCAGGTGGTTGAGGAGAGGCGTGCAGAGAGGCGGCTGGCGGGTGTCACCAGGCGGTCAACTCCACGCTGCAAAGGATGCGGCAACGCAGGCCACAATATGCGCACATGTAGAAGAAATGCAGCTGAATTAGGTGAGTAATTATATATATTTTTCATCCTAATTGCTTGTTGTGGCGTTAAGTTATTATGGTTGAGAGGTGGGCAGCTACATCAGGGTGGCCGAATCGATGGTGTGGCCGAAGCGATGGTGGATCACGTTAGTAGTATACGCTTGCAATTTCTCTTCTAGTGTTTTTTAGTATTGTTATCTTGCTTGTTAGCTTTAGCAAGAACCTTGCTACGTAGGTGCTAGG